AACGGATTTCATAGTAATAATTACTCAAAGTCGAAACATTATTCCACTCGCGTGGTACATGTGACAACAAACAACGTGAGTTAAAAAATAATTCCCGAAGAGAGCTGGAACAATACAGTCTTTAATCAATTCCAAACAGACCGACCCTTGGGCTTCCTCTCCCTTGTCATATCCGCTTCCTCTAGCTGATTACGTCCTCCAACCCTTCCACGCCCACCCCCACTAACAAATCCACCCCTAGTGTGGGCCATTGCATAACGCTCTTGGTAACCGTACCTGTTTGTATTGAATCAGAAGCTGTACAAACGTGTGTGGGAAAATAAATCTCGCCCCACGACAAACGAAAACATGGATTGTCATATGTAGGATGATCAATCAAACCCTGGAGCAATACTATTCCACCACCAATTAGTTTAGTTTGAGTAAAGTTATAATTAAAGTCATAACCACCTCAAAATGGTTATGATTATCGAGTTTCCCACGAGGAAGTAGTTTGTAGTCTTTATTGCGATACCTAGGTCTAGGATCGCTGTATTATTTTCGTCTCCGTCCACAGAATCCAAAACACAATATGTTTGGACTTCTATTCACTACTCGAATAATTTTTTTTTTTTTTTGTAAACTTAAATTAGTTTTCATCATTCAAACACCATTGGTTGTTGATATTATTTAAAAAGTTGAACGGAGTTCGTCAACTTCCATATTAGGCCTATTATCCTAATGGAGAGATCCTTGTTGAAGTCCTTGTTTATGGATATGTATCTTCAAAAATAGAATTAGGCGATTTTTTGTTTCGTTGAAGGAAAGAAAAACAATCCTCTGCGTGTGGCAGAAAAGTTTAGTACTGTACTTAGGTAATAAATCCCTTGTGTGCTGAGACAGCTGGTTTTTAATTTTGGTTTCCATGGAAATAATTGATTGTAAATAAACTAATACTAAAGAAAGAAAGTTGATACAATTTTAACTCTTTATTTATTCTACATTTATTAACTTAAAACTTAATTTAAAGCAGGAAAACCAAACATAACTTTACTTATCCACGGATATCACAATATGGTAGCAGAGCGTGGTTTCTTGCTTTAACTTTTTACAACTTTCTAAACTTAACTTCTTTACTCAAATTTTTTACAACTTCCAACTTTGAACTTCACTTTCCCGAATAACTAAGAATGACTTCAAGATGGGACCTTCGATTGAAATCTGCCTTACTACGACTGAAGACTTATACTACTGATACAAATGCATTCTTGGAGACTACAGACTTAACAGAACTACAACTTCAAACACGACTACGGACTTTGACAAGCTTTGTAAAGAGAGTGGAAGAAATTCAAAAACGTTTGGACACCGAGCCTATTACTGAAGATGGACAAACTGAAGGACCCACCACAGAGGACGACTTCATAAATACTATGATGGACTGTGAGGAGGTGCTTGCACAGCTTACGGTAAGACTAGATATTTCTCAAACTAATAAGTCACAGGCAACAGTGCCTGATACGTCTACCGTTCAGCCAATACCAACTATACAGCACCAGTATGTTCAACTACCAAAGTTAGTATTACCAACCTTCCAAGGGGACATGCTACGGTGGCAGGAGTTTTGGGATAGTTTTGAGTCTGCCATTCATAGCCACCCCACACTCAGTAACGTTGACAAATTTAACTATTTGATTGCACAATTAAAAAAAGGTGACGCTAAACGTTGCATCGCTGGACTCCCCATTACAGATCTAAACTATGATATTGCTATTACCTTGTTGAAAGACAGATTTGCTAAGAAACAGGTAATAGTGAATTCTCATTACTGTGCCTTGAGGGATATGCCACCTATCAAGTCCAGTGACACGGTAACACTAAGGCGAGGATTTGACAACATTGAGAAACATAATGCGTTGTCTTCAAGCCTTAGGTGAAGACGTTACTTCTAACTACTTTGTTTCTCAAATTTTCAGTAAGCTGCCCTATGAGATTGTTTTGAAAGTTGAAGAAATGAATATTTCTGGGGAATTGGATGTTAAAACTTTGTGCAAATTTGTAAATAACTTAATTTCGATTCCGGAAAGAAAAAAGGGGCCCAGAACAACTAACTAATGATGTGGGAGTGTGCTGAGACAGCTGGTTTTTAATTTTGGTTTCCATGGAAATAATTGATTGTAAATAAACTAATACTAAAGAAAGAAAGTTGATACAATTTTAACTCTTTATTTATTCTACATTTATTAACTTAAAACTTAATTTAAAGCAGGAAAACCAAACATAACTTTACTTATCCACGGATATCACAATATGGTAGCAGAGCGTGGTTTCTTGCTTTAACTTTTTACAACTTTCTAAACTTAACTTCTTTACTCAAATTTTTTACAACTTCCAACTTTGAACTTCACTTTCCCGAATAACTAAGAATGACTTCAAGATGGGACCTTCGATTGAAATCTGCCTTACTACGACTGAAGACTTATACTACTGATACAAATGCATTCTTAACTTATTTATTAACACATTTATTAACTTAAAACTTAATTTAAAGCAGGAAAACCAAACATAACTTTACTTATCCACGGATATCACAATACCTTGTCATGTCGTTTGGCCCGGTTTGAATAACAAAAATAAATTAAGTTTGCCAAGATCGTTTAGTTTGACGAAAGTATTTGTTGTTCATAGTCAATCCAGTAAAATATGACCAACTAGAGAACCCGTGCGGCTCAATGAGCCGCATAGTATGAAACATAACTCCGATGAAAACGTTATGCTTAAATTCGATTAATTCTAGTTACATCTTAATGCTAAACGATCTGCTTCAATTCGAGTTAACATGTTACAACAAAGTTTTTCCAGCATTGAGAATTGAAGAAAACTGTTGCCTTACTGATAGTCTGTGTTAAGTAATTTAAGTTTAATTTAAGTTTGGGTCATTTTATTTCTTTGATTTGAGACTTCCCTATAATCAAACGAATTTTCTCCGTAGAGAATCCTGAAAGGTTGGGTGATATCAACCATTTCATGTGCTCCATTTTTTACCCACAAACTCTGGGTTACTAACTGAAAGGTTGGGTGATATCAACCATTTCATGTGCTCCATTTTTTACCCACAAACTCTGGGTTACTAACTGGACAGCTAAAATATGCTTTGAATAGGCTAAAACAGCAAAATCATTGAAAGTTGGTTAACCTATTTTTACGTGTTGTCTGTCAGTCACAGTGTCTTTTCTAGTATTCTTGGTCACAGTATATGCCCCACATCAGATCGTTCTCACGTTGTTCAGTGGATTTTCTCTTTTTATACCTGTCCGAAAGTTTTGAAACTATGGATTCATATGTCGAAATAGGTTGGATAACTCTTGTAGCTATAAAATTTGGATATTAATTTTCAATTTCTCTTTTTGATAAGCGTATATTATTTGCATCTCCTGAGTCATCAAAATAAACTTGTCTGTAACTACTCGATCGTTCGTTAAATACATAAACACTAATGCCTTCACTTATGTTTGGTCTATGTTGCCACTAAACCTTTTAATAGCAAATGAGTTTTTGAAACTTCTTATTTTTGACTTGAGATGTCTGGATTGTGCTGGTGAATTCAGTCCAAAAACTTTGTATAAGTTTGTCCGAAATACGGGCAACGTAACCTAGAAGTAAACAATCCATTTGCGTTTTTCTCAATTGAAGTAGACCGAGTAATACAAAAGTTTACAATAAAAACATAAGGTCCGCAAAGATTTGGTATAATCTTACTACTTGAACTTATCATAGTCAAGGCACTATTATAGTTTCTACTAAATGTTTTGAAATTTCTCGATCTGTCAGTGTCAGAAGTAAACATTTCTTGCATGCATTCATTTGATCTGTGATTAGGCAAGTTTACTTTACCAGCGTGAAAACACCAAGTGCTTCGTATATTTTTTCACTTCCAAAGTAAGTTGTAACTGTCAAATATTATTCATCTCACCAAGTGAATTTGAATCTGGATGGGTATCTGTTAGACCAGGCCTCTCTTTTCTATTCTCCTCATACGCATAAGATATCTTATTATAAATCGTCTCCTCCTCCCGTTTTCAACATTTCTTCTTTGAACTTGAGGCATTTTCTGTTCTTCCAACAAAACTGATTAGGCCTAACTGTTTAACTTGGTCTTTAACCTACTGAATATTACAAACTTTAATATTTACTCCCAAAAAGCTAATGAGTTTCTTTTTATGAACAGCTGTTTTTTGTTTTTAAATTTGTTCTGTGTATTACTTATGGGGAAAACCCGACCTTTGAGAGGGTCTCACACCCTTAAGAGTAAGAATTTTTAGATTCTAAAACCTTATTGCAAAACTACATATTGAGACGAATCTTTTGACACCTTAAACGTTGAAATTGGTCCACAAATAAGGGAGGAGTTGCGTTAACAAAAAACGGCTTCACGTATTATATATATAGATTTTATTTACAGCATTGCTGTTCCTTTGTGGTTTCTTAAATAAATAATCGGCTTTTTACAATAACATACTTTTATTACCCTGGCAATGATAATTTGATCATTCATTACACTTATTTACCCCTTCATTTAAATGAATAACTTATAGGATGATATAATACCTAATAAAAAGTAGTTAACATTATTTATAGTCCAAATTTAGCAGGAGAGTCAAAAGAGGTCTGGTTTGTATCTTGGCGTCTTTATGACTTCAGAAATACCTAATACAGTAGAACTTTTTGAATTCAGAAACAAAACAGTTTCTTCAGATGGATTCTTATGAAAACTTTAGTATTTAGTCAGCAAAAATTCTATTCAAATCAATACTTTAAATCAATCAATACAATGTTATAAACAGAAAATTCAGTTCACTTTGCTTTGTTTACATCGAGTAATAACAACCCTCCTCTGAGAAATCTTCGTAGTTACACATTCTTATTCTTATTACACACAATTAACAGTATGACAGTTAAATAATTGTGTCAAATTAACTAAAAAAATAGCAAATCTTAAATATTCCTTGACGAAATCTTACCAAAAAAGTCCTCCCATGTAAGCGAGCCGTCTGAATCACAGGCTTCGTGGTTGTCTTTGTCAATGGAAGGCATTGTCCACACAGAACTGACACATAGAAACACACACACAACTGCTAAACATCACATGGCACGGCAGACAGCAGACACTGAGGTAAAGGGACGATATGAAATCAAAACAAACACGAAAACATAACCTACAACAGACGCGCCGCGGGCCCGGCGGAAGCTGGGCGTCCTATGCTGATTGCTGATTGTCGCGCCGCCCCGCACTGTTTCCAGGCGTACCAGCGCTGATTATCGTACAAGCGGACAAGATTATCGTATTTTGTGTGAAATTATGGTGCTTTTGCTTAACGTTATCAAAACATGTCATATTTGACCATTATACGCATGAAAAATACAAGAATATATCGTCTTAAGGTACTTAATTTGGCTATGCGAGATACTGTACAACAAAAGGAACAAACACAAGTTAATTATTGATAACAAAATTGTTTAAGACTGACAACAAAGCAAAAATAGGTCTGCTACTAAAAATATTTAATTGACTAACAATTTCTTCGCTATTATTCAAATTTGCTTTGTCAATCAACTATTTGGATATACAATTAAGAAGAATAATGAAGGTGTGCTAAAAATATATATTTAAATTTAGGATATTAAATGTATTTTATAATTGCCAAAGATAGGTCCAGTTAATTAAAGGCACTGTAACTGTTGTGATAGTGTTTTCGAGGTTTTTGTAGTGCGTAGTGGGAAATGTGTATTTCATAATACCACCCCTGTTTATTTCTAATAATATGTTTAGTAGTTATTTTACTGTAAAAAATGTAAATAAAGTTAGGTGGTTTCGAGTTATAACATAAAACATTCTTGCAATCTTAAATTTTTTAGTAAAAACGTTTTTTGTCCTAGGACGCAAGGCACGAGCCTGGGATTTTATCTCATTAATTGAGGCTAGACCTAGGGGTTGCGTCATTAACACTTAATCCATTGGTGATTTAGTGGGATTTGAACCCGCGGTACCTCTTGGACCGAAGTCCCGCGCCGCGCCCAAGACCAGCTCGCTCCTCCAAGTAAAATAGTACTTTAGAGATATTGATTGCTATACTATAACAGCAAAACAACGCAAAAAACCGTTATAAGCGAAGATCAATTTAACCCATAAACTCGAAGGTAGTGTGTACAAACATACCAAATCTTTTAAATGTTCTTATTATATTTATATATTTTTTACGCAACGAACGTAAAAATATAGTATCGAACAAACAACATTTTCCGTATCACGGCATGCATTAGAAGTGTACACCTTAAATTATGGTACGGCACGACAATCCTCGTGCGGGTGGCAACCCTGCGTAGAACGGAGCGGCAACGTCTCGTGGACTGTAGACTTGCGTTGCGTTATCTGTGATTTACAAGTTGAACTGTTACTGGCGCTGGCGGAGCGCAGGAGCGGTCCCTTTGAACTGGCTGTTTGGGTGATACGGGTAATGATTCGACGCCTGCCTTCGCGCTTGTGGTGGTTTTCTGATAAGGCCATTAAATACAATTTTGTCTCGTAATTTCATAATGTTTAAGTGATGTGGTGATATAATAGAGTTGTAATACTTGGAATAATTAGTTAAAAATTGGTTAAATTTATTTGTGTTTTTCTAAGTCACTCTTATTAATTGTAACTTACTGCTACTATTATTTTATTGTTGTTGTTATTTAATAATTAATATTTATTATTATTCTTAATCTATGAATGATTCAACTTTTTATTCAATTTTATGAACTCATAGCATGATCTTTTTGAACAAACTAGTGCTGCAATGTAAATGGGATTTGTATTCTGTTTTGTAGCATGCAAAATAAAATAAAATGAAACCTTGGAGGATTAACATCCCTCTAGAGTAGTAGTACCCTCCTTAACACAACCATTGACCAGAAACAATTTGATATACCCCCGCCACAGCAAACATGCAGACTAAGCGAATTTCCATTTACCTGGTTGCATTTGTACTAAAATATTCCCTTAAAATTGTCAGATTTATAATTTCTTATTTGAATGCTGTAACATTAATTTTAATGAGTACTTAAGTTTGCTGATACAGGGAAGGTAATGAGATGTATTTTTAATTGAAATGTTTAAAGATTAGTATAAAATAAAAAAAAATTGCCAAATTTGATTTAAAAAGACATATCCAACTAAAGTAGCGATGGATGAGATTGGATTTTTAGTTCGATACGAGATTTTTTATTTCTCATAAAATTACGAGACAAGATCGAGACGGGATTTCCCTTCTCATACACAATAGGAAATGCCCGTTAACATTTTTACCTGATTTTGTAACATTGTTAGATGACTACAAAAATAATAACTAATAGGCAATGATATTTAAAATCTTTTATTAATTAAAAAAAACATCAGCATACAAAAATGTATATTAATTACGCCTAACTTATTAAAAATGCTTTTAGGAAACATGGTGGTATCAGTCAAGTTAGTTAAACTTAACATAAAATAAAAACAATATTAATTTGTATAAAATAGTTACTTGTGTTGACTTGTAATGTTTTACTATAGTAGTAAAACATGCCTCACACTGCTTACACTTAACAAAACTACTCGAATGATAAAATAATTAAAGTAATACTGTATTTACATGTAAAGAATTAAATAAGAACGCCTTCGCAAAGGAAACGCAACTGCAACGCGCTCCTGTATTGCGGGTATTGCATTGACTTTCTGCAAGCGTTTTTAAATTATTTTTTTAAATTCTCGTCTTGAAATATTCTTGATCAAAAAGAAACCTCCTCTTGTATAACGAGATTTAAAATTTCCCGAAATTTCGAGACGACCATCTACAACAGTTTATTTTTTCTCCTTAGGAATGACATAGGAATTAGAAAACCCCCGGTCCCATAGTCCGATCATGCAAGTTCGCGAACTCGTTAGAATAAACCTAGGTTTACACGTTTGTACCAAATTTCATGAAAATCAGACGATTTGTGATCGAGTACACATATATACATATGAATTTGAACGGAGGGTGTTTTTGATGGCCTGGGGACCTCAAAATTGAAAAGAAATTTAAACCCGGATTAGGTTGTACCATGAGACCTTCGGCACCCTTCGGTAATAGCAATAGCTTATTCTCCAAGTACAGGTTAAGTGTAAGTTGCCTGTGTAAAAAAGTCCCCTCAAATCCATCCATCATTGGGGATTTCCATGACTTTCAATGACCAGAATTTTTTTCCATGACTATCCCTGACTTTCCAGAATGTGGAAACCCTGTGGAAGTTCCCTTCTTTACCCTCTGCCCTGGGGATTCCTCCTGTCCAATCGTAAAAAATTAAGATTGAAAACTATACCCAGGATTGGAATATGTTGTGAACTGTAGAAGGCTCTAGTGCAAGCTACCTTCAAAACGTGACACATCTTACCATTTGAAATCACATGAGCAAAGTATACAAACTTCTCCATCAGTAGAGGCAAAAGTGATCTCCTCTGGCTGTTACTTAACAGCTTCTGCTTGAGGCGTTTTTTACAAGATACAAGAGCGTGTTTGGGAGCAGCCAACAGACAGCTAAAGGAATAAGACTTGCAACTAAAATTTGTTACTTTGACCCTAAGACTAGATTTTTTGTTTTGCGCGCAAATGCAAGGGCGTTGGTTCTTACTTGTTAGTAGCCCCCATTGTGAACCGATTGACAAGATTTGGTGTCATTTTTCGTTAAATATTATTGTAGATCCTGTTCTTTTTAAAACTAAGATATTTTTAACAAATCTTGGGCTAAAAGATTGGTAAAAATTGTACAATAGGCTACACGTTTTTAACATAATTTTGAACGCATACAAATTATTTTTAGGGAAAAGATAACAAACGGGGGAAGTGCAATAGATTGTTAAAAACAAGAAACTGCAGTTAGTATACTAAAAGGTTTAAGGATAGCGATGCAATCACCCAGATTCAAAAGGCTTGCAAGCGCTCTTCATGGCGCAGTTCAGTGCAATGATATAGAAACATCAGCATCGTACTGAGAAATGCGTCGTAATGACTTGTTGATAAAAAGAGGTAACATAAGAGTTAAGTAAGTAAAAAGAAAGTATAGTCACAATGTAAATTTAATAGGACTACCTACTAATGGTCAGGCATAAAATTATTTGCCAGTGAACCAATTAATTGTTACGTCAATTGTTACGATTTAATGTGAATATTTAATAAGGATCCAGTTTCGAAACAATTTATAAGATAAAGCAACAAGAAAAAAATTCATATCACTTCAATAAATACCAAAACAACCAAGGGGCATTAGTTATGACAAATTCAATAAAATAGTTTTATTAAACAATACAATTTCAATGTACAATATTATAATACAAAAATTCTGTTTTTTTTTGTGCTTGTACATCATATCAGCAATACATAACATTGGGCATCGAGCTGGTCCAGTGGTAGAGCACTAGTCTAGTGGCTTCGGAGGTCAAGGTCCCAGGTTCAAATCCCACCAATCACCAATGGATTTTTTTCTATGTAATTATTTTGCAACCCTCTAGGACTAAAGTTATAGCTTGGATCATAAAACCTAGGACTAAAACTAGGTTTTAGCTTGGATCATAACTTGGTTACATCCTAGGATGTAAAGGTGGGACATAAAAAAACAAAAGAAAAAACCATCATACGTAGCAACAGTTTTTTATAGAAAATCTTGGACCCAAAAAGTGTTATTCAAATTAATTGAGCAAACAATGCCGAAATTATATATTCAAACAAATGTTTGGAAACCCGTTTTTGAAAGGGCAGCAGAGGTTGATTGGAGCTTTGCAAAAAAAGTTGATACTTATTTACACTGAAACATAGATTTCTGGAAGGTATATGAGAATATCGATAATCGTACCCATCTTCAGTTAGGTGTCATTTCTTGTTCGCCTCAACTCCCAAACCACTTTTAAGAAAGATGAAGAACTATGCATTCTTGACCTATTTTCGTATATTATGACTGTAGCAGGTTATACCGCCAGTAGTCTAACAACACAGGCTTGGAAGCACCCAGCACTCGTCTTTATTTTCTGCTTGTTTTAGCACATTTCATATCACACAGTAGTTTTCAGTACCTCATACCCCCATACTGTGCCTCACGCACAGTGCAACAGAGACCTGTGGCTATGCGGATAAGTATTGTTGTATTCTGTATCTTATAGTAAAATTAGTGTCATTTTTTACCGTGGCTCATTTCAAGAAGTTGGTTTAAAAACAGAAAACATTATAAGTAAAAAAAAAATTGAAGATTTAAATAGACCTGTCAACAAAAAAACTGCAGAATCCAACCATTCCGCATATTCAAACTTTCCCGTGCCCAATATACTGTAGATTGTTGTTTGTTGTGGTTGTTGTTGTTGTTGCTGAGGGGGTTACACTTTGCCAGTGTATTTATAGTCCTTGTTGAATGTTGCAGCGACCACCTTGTACATTTCTACAGATGCTATGGGCAGAAGGTTCTGCAGCTGCTGAGTCCCGTGATGATCACAGATGATCAGCAAACTACACACACAGTTCTGCAGCTCTCCCTGCAACATCATCATTGCTATTATCAAAGTAGGGGAGTCTCGAGAATAGGGGTGGAACAAAAGTCATTGTTGGCGAAATTTGGGGAAATTTGTGGAGGCCAGGAAATGACAGGACAGAATGATTTTACGATTGCGAAAAATGTCACAATTTTGCCGCAATCTCTGGAGACACTCATGTCGATGGAATTGTGGAAGATGACTATGTTTGGTCTAATACTATTATCTGCCTTGAGAATAGCAACAGGGACCTTAACTCGACGTTCTGTACCCACGAGCACCTCAGCTTCCACTTGCACAGGATAACAGCTATTTGTGTAATAGCTTCACTGTATATCTTTAATTGGACCTGTTTAGATAGTTGTTTCGTTTCAACAGTTGCAGTTTGCAGTTGCGAACTGTGCATTGTGATTTTAAGGTGTTTTTTCTTTACTGTTTGTTTATTTTTGACTTGCATGAGCTGCTTGAAAAGGTGTTTTATGATTATGAAAATTAAAGTGTTGTGAGTGAGCTGAAGCTGATTATTTGTTATTAGGTATTAACAATTAAATATTTTGCGTGCATGAATTATTTATCAAGTTTTAAATGTTCACTTAACCTATCTTTTTCGGATTCCTCAAGAAAGAGTGATTGTTAATGTTAGGTTGAGTTGCGTTTGTGTGTGAATTTGTTAGATTGGAGTTTTGGTAGTGGTAACTTAGGTCTAGGTTTATTTTGATTAAGTTAGTTGGGCCTTTCAGTGGAGTTTAGGTCTAAGTTATTGCCTTTGAAAAAGTTAAATCAATAACTTATCTATTAATAAGAGTATGCCTAAGTTAAGTTTACCTTAGAGGCTAACTTAGACCTACCACTACCAAAACTGCAATCTAATAAATTCACACACAAACAAACACCTAACCTAACCTAACAATCACTCTCTCTTGAGGAATCCGAAAAATATAGGTTAAGTAAACATTTAAATCTTAATAATTAATTCATGCACGCAAAACATTTAGGCTAATTGTCAATACCTAATAACAAATCAGCTTCAGCACACTCACAAAACGTTAATTTTCATAATCATAAAACACCTTTTCAAGCAGCTCAAGTCAAAAGTAAACAAACAGTAAAGATTAAAGAATAAACACCTTTTCAAAATCACAATGCACAGTTCGCAACTGTAACTGTTGAAAAAAAACAACTATCTAAACAGAAACAGGTCCAATAAAGATATACGGTGAAGCTATTACACAAATACCTGTTATCCCAGGAACTGTTCGAAGGACTTCTGTGCTTGTGGAAGCTGAGGTGCTCGTGGGTACAGAACGTCGAGTGGGACCTTAAAAATATATAAGCCTATGTGATAAAGTAGAACAATTTAACTTCACCAATGTTCAGGCAGCGGTGTGACTTTCAACCTCTTTTTTAGTTCTGATGTGTGTTAAAACTTGACTTTTCAATATTTTTCCATTAAAATGCCTAAGGTTACCTATTACAGCCAGACTTCACAAAGATGTTGAGGATAACATGTATTTAAAATCTTATTTTATTGTTTTAATTGCTGTCTTCATTACTTATCTTGTACATATTTCATATTTGTTAAGCAATCTTTTCCATACTGCAATATGTAACTCGTTTGAACTTAGAACCATTATGTCATTACCGTCCTTGGTCCTATCACTTCTCAAAATCAAGAAAAAAATTATTTCCAGCCCTGTCGTGAAGTCAAAATTTCTGTCTCGCAGATAATCCTGCTGCAGAAAATATAAGAAAAAAATCTATTACGAAGGTTAAGAGAGTGATTGTTTAAACTGCTAGGCCAATAAAGGAGAAACATCCTGTTCACTAATTAAATAAAACAATTACCTTAACTGATATCTCAATTGGATGTGAGACCAAGAGATGAAGTATGTCAGCGATCAAGTACGGAGAGATTCGGGCAAAGTGTTTGGCGTGGTGGTCCGTCATCGTTTTGATTATTCTAAAACAATAATCATAGTTATGCTATGTACTTTGATATGTTGTAAATGTCTCATAACACTTCAAAGATACATTTTTAGTTTTACACTAACTAACAATATATTCATACAAGGCAGACAACTTAGTCAACAACCACAGTAGGAAGTATAGACGCTGTTACTGGTATTTAGGTCTGTTATGGAGTTCCTAAATTAAGTTGATCATCTGTTAACAAATATTTTCTTGTAAAGGGCTAAGTTTTAAAAGACTAACACCTCATAGATACGTTTACATGTAAATAGCGCCTCAATGAAATATTCGTACATACGTAGTAACATATAGTACATATTCGCAAGTCAGTGTACTATATGAGTACTATGTACGTGTAAATATTTCATTGAGGCGCTATTTACATATAAACGTATCTATGAAGTGTTAGTCGTTTAAAACTTAGCCCTTTAGCAAAATAACATCTCAGCATGATAATAAAGAAGTAAGTTCACACATAATTTTTGAAATCTTATGTAAATTATAACTATTAGATAGTAATGAGGCCTGGTTTTGGGTTACAAAAAATTAACAAATAAATAGCAATTGTGTAAATAACACCAAAATAATTTTTGTAACTAATAAAATAAGAGAAAATAAACCATTTTCTTCCAATTTTGAAAGGGGCATCTTTCAAGCACAAGTAGGGTAAAAAAAAGTGGAAGATTTTAAAATATAGTATTTACACTCTTATTAATATAAAATAAGACAAAAATGCATTCAAAGTTCGTAGATCTTACATGCGGTAGGCCTATGATGGTATTAAAGAGGCTTTAATAATCAACAAAACTCTGAATTTAACATTCCGAAATATTCATACAAGATATTACCGAGTGACGAGATTGACACTGGAGTTGGAGAAAGTGTTGTAGCTCAACTTGTCTCCATCTTCAGCCAGAGAACACAAGACTAGAGATCTGATAAACTTGCGCAGCCGTTGTAGAAACACTGGTATCCTGTCAAACACCAGTTCAGCTCGGACGTTGATCAAAGCACTGAGAACGGACAGACAGTCCTGCAGCAGGTGGGGCTGACTATCCGTCGGAGCTTCACCGAGAATCACCAAAACCAGGTCTAGCAGCTTGGACGACAATGTGATCTGATCAAACAAATGGTTATATTTTTTTATAAACTTGACGTGGCCAAGCCACTGTAGGCTAATATAAGTCAAAATATATTACAGCTTGCCTGCCCTATTTACCAATTACAAGCATTATCAAAACTCATGAGTTTGTTCAAAATACAAAACAAAATGGATTCTTTATCTGGGATGTTCATTGTACAGAAACTTTAGATATATTCTTGGACAATTAAATTTATGTTTTAAAGGGCAGAAATCTCGCAACACCTTCTTTATCTCAGAAAGTAATCACAATAATATGTATACTTCAGAATCCAAAAGTCAATACAATTTTGTTTCATATGTACTAATGTATTCTGACTAAACTAGCATTGATATCAGGAATTAAGGTAATCAATAACAAAAAATCATTGTTCGATATTAATGATTGACTCAAAAAAATTAAGTAAAATTTAAAGAACAATACAAATTAATAAAAGTAACACTTACCGATCGATGCACCACCATGGCATGCAAGAGGCTGAGCAGGTTTGAGTGGAATTTAGAGATGTCTTCTTGAACAAGTTGGCAGCACTGAGTCAACACAGTGACCAACAATTTTTCTCTTACACGAGCCTTATCCCTCCCTTCTTGTGTGCCAACCACAATACTCCACAACTCACACAAACTGCTCACATCCTGATACACCACAAATACAATGTACAAGTTGGTAGCACTGGGTCAACACAGCAGGTTTCCACAATCCTGATACTGTATTTATTCCCAAAATACTAGAATATTTACCATGGGACCCATTTTTAAACACTTAAAGACTAATTGCCAATCAAAATCTATAGCTGTAACTATGTGATAAAACCACATAAAGACTGAATAAAATGTTGCAGAATAAACAAACCTTTTGCTGATGACTGTTAATCTTGCACAAGACTTGATGGTACTCCTCACAAGACAGAGCTTGGCAGAATGCTTGGACTGTGGAAGGGTAGCACAGTACAGGACACACATCTGTCCTGCACAACTCTTGTGTGATGGTGGTACACACTCTAGACACCAGCTCCTGTGTCACCTCTGTCTGCGAGTGGAGCACCACCTCTATCAGCTGTACAGTGTCTGGCTCCATGACGTCGCTGCCTGCCAGACTGTCCAGCTGTAACAAGTTACTATTTAGAAGTAAAATATTACCTTTGCATGCTTAAAATTATCTCTAGAACATGAATATGCAGCATTACTTTACACTACTAAAAATTAATTATAGATGAAAAAACTTAAACATACTTAAATCTACCAATTGTTTCAAGTATTTGCAATTTTTTACAGAATCACTTTCAAATCACTATTCTACTTACCAGTATATCCAAATACTTTGGAAGAAGATTCATCAAAGAGGTAGTAATTTCCTTGAAAAATGTGAAATCTGTTTTTACAGCTGTTGTGAAGAGTCGTACTGTTTTAGGTTTTGGTTTCTTTACACACGCAAGTGATGAAGCCATTAAAATCAGCTTTTTAGCCATGTTTTTGTACTCTTCATTATTCTTGAGCCTTCCACTTTTTTGGGCCTGAAATAACATTAGATGGTGTTAGTAAACTAAGTTACATAACTTTGAATCAATCTTACTATATTTTTGGTATGCAAACTTGCCAAAAATAAGAAAAAACCCCTCATTTTACAGGTTGTGGTCACTAAATTAAGGACTTCTCCAAAAATAACAAAACAAAGATAAAATTACAGAACCTGTTTAATTTTTTGTATAAGAATCTTAACTGCAGCAAATATTTTCAACTTCTCGTTTTTAAATATGAAATTTTCTTTTACTTTTTTCTTTTTGACAAGTGTGGTATTTTGTTGAAACCTCGGTGAAAGAAAAGTTATTATCCATTTCATTCATGTTAGGTTAGATTATGTCGGGCTAGCTTAAATATCATGTTGATTATGTTTCTTTAAATTTATGTTGGGTTTTGGTTTCAACAAGATGGTTTGGTTATTTTGGGTTAAATTAAATGTTCAATTAATAATATGTCAAGTTTATTAGATTATGTTAGGTTGTGTTATTTAGGGTTAGCTTATATCAAGCTGATTAGGTTATGTTAGGTTTGATTGTACTCGGTTGGCTTATTTCATGTTAAATATGTTATGTGAAGTTGTTACTTCATATAGTACTGTTTAGGAGAGGTTAAGTTTCTTACCACAGTGAGAGCCTGCAGGGCAGCGCACAACAGCTCCTCGCTTGTCTCCAACACTGCGGTGTCCTCAGCCACAGCCAGGATGTGCATTAGTCTACCCATAGCCACTGTGTACAGCTGTTGTCTGTGAGGGTACTCAGGAGGCACCACAAGAGACAACCACCGCAACATCACTTGCAGCTGCAAACTGTCAGGCACTACAGGGCTAGTGTCATCTAGGCAGCCTACGGTCAACACCAGCAGTTCAGCAAAATGTACAAAGAAATATTTATATATCAGGTAAAGGCACTGCACAGTAACTCTTCACCATCACTGGATTAATTGTGTCTACGGTAGAAATATAGGTAGGTTCATCCACACTACATTTTTAAACCGGTAGATTAAACTACATCTTCTTGGAATCTAGATACTTTCAATCCCATTCTTATTACAGTAATAAAATTGAACTTTGTCGATGTCTGATGTTGTTAAATCCACACAAGCAAAAACAAATCACTAAATTTAAAAGTAAATCGTAGCGTGTGATAATTTAAGGTCTAGACTCTGGACAATTTGATTTAAATTATATATGAATGTATAGTTTCAAATACAGGGTTTGTCCACACCACACTTACTATCTAGTTTAAAGAGTGCAATTTTCAGAATACAGGTTCACTTTTAGCCCAAGTTGATGTCAAAGATATGTCAGTTTGTTTTGTCCATAGTTAAATAGCTTGCATTTACATTTTGGGTGCATGAAACCCACAGTAAATCCAATTTCTTACCCATTACATAGTCCAAAATAGTAGGTAGTAGGTTGGATTCGCCTCTCAAATCACAAGAAAGGCCAATCATCATAAGACAAACAATCCGCTTGCTTTCTGTCTTGAGGCAATGAGAATTCATGAGTGAGAGAACATCGAACATTCTGCAGGAAAAAGAAAAAGAATTTCATCAGAAATTGGGTTTTTTGTGTAATGACACAGAATAATACACATGTGCAAATTATCAATGAAAACCTTATAAGAAGCTAAATGTCCATGTTAAAAATTTAATCTGGGATTTTTGAATTTTGACAAGTTTCCGTGGCGGCCGCTAGGTAGGAAAGGCGCTACTATCGCTGGCTCGTGGCAGCATCAATGGGACCCCATAGCTGTGTGAGGCAAATAATTATTGTAGAGAGAGAGGGGAGAGAGGAAGAGGCTAGCGCTTACCTAGTGGCTGCGCAAAGCTCATTTCAGCGGCAAAAACCAGTCTGACTTTTCCCCATTAGTGTTTTGCTTCTTATCAGGTTTGTATTCATTGAAAAAATTCAATTATTTTGTTATACAAATACAGCATTATCTTTTTAAAATCAAAAACCTACCCGAAGACAGCTGAAATGATTTATTAATAACTTTGACTGTAAATTTACAAATAAATATAAAATTGTATCATAAAGTCAGCGGTTCCTAACAATTTTGGCCTGTTAACCCAAACCCACACATCTTGTTTATTTTTGCAATCCACTTAAATAAAATTGATTCTGGTGCTCAGCCATTTGTTAAGATAAGCCAGTTGTAAAGAGTGGGTGGAAAAAAAACATTTTAAATGTTTGATCTCTTCTGATTGTTTTGGAACCCCTGATCTAACAATTTCACAAATAAGAAATTAGCATCGTGGAAGTCAAATTAAAAAAATAAATGTCACTAACAAGACTAAAAGATCGCCCCACTCATCTCCATTCATACTTGGCTTAAAATACCTACTTTGTACGGTCTCCATTTAATAAGAAAGTATTAAAGTATTTCTCAAACTCATGTGTTATACAAGTATGGGCTTGAAACCCATAAGTTTATTTTTAAGATACAAAAGTGATAAAAAATAATTGTTACCTGGAATAATAGATCTTGCTGTCAGGTCCCAGCATCACAGGGGCCCGTTCTTCCCAACAATGTCTGTTGATAGCCTCCACCATAGCTTTTGTAATGATGTTTACTTCTTCTGAGTTCTCATTGGAGAAATTCGTCTCAAATTCCATGACTGGATATATGTTTAACAGTTTGGCCAACTTTCCAGACAGAGAGCTGTTCTCGGACCGAGCCAGCTGGTTTAGGGATCGGAAAGTCATAGCAACTCGGAAGGCTCTGAAGCAAAATTATACATAAAATAAGTTACGCAAATTTGATTCCATACAGTATTTTAATAACTACATTATTGACCTACTGATACTTTAGATAATGGTGCCTCTCTCAACATAGTATTTGGAGTAGGCTACCTAGCCTATCGTGCACTTGCAAAAAGAGAATATTTTAGTGGGTCTTGGTGTACATTGTGTTGAGTCAATTTGCACACTGTTTTTTGTTTTTTTTTTCAAGTCATGTATTAGGTAGTGTCTTAAATTATTCAAATGTGACGTGTTTGGTTTAAGGAAAAATGGTCTATTTCATTAGAGACTGAAAACATGACTAACAATCTACAGATCTAAACTAACAACTTTATGTCCTACATTAACCTGACATGACTAATAAAACTTGACCTGTCAATCGAACAAAGAGTGAAAGAAAAATGTGCAAGCTAACTTGTCCCAGTGGGTTGTTCTTTTTTGTACGTACCCAACTAGCTGCTCAAGGGAGGACATGTAGTATTACCTGCTGCTCAACACATTGATGTTGTCCAGGGCAGTCAGCTGCTGTGTACTGTCCAGTGATGATATCAGTTTGTCAGTATACAGCTCCATATGTGTCAGTGGCACGCAAGGGGCCACTCGTGACACAGTGCTCCACAACCACTTTGACACTCCCTCCAACACCAAGCCATTCAGTGTGGCCTGATCTTTCAACATCATACTCTTCTGCAGTAGCAAGTCTTGCTGGAAATAATAACTGAGTTACATCATAACTGAAGTGGACATCCCATTTATTTTTATTTTTTCATTCAAATAGAACATATAAAATAATACTGTAAAATGTTCATACCATAGTGGAAATAATACTGTTTTGTTGGGGCGAGTTCACAATCCACACACCGGCTTTTTTACACGCAACTTGTAAACTAGCTCAGTGTGAACGACATACTAGCTCAAAATCTGCTTTTAAAAAAGCTCTGGAAAAAGTTAACTCTGCGACTATTTAACAAGCATACTCAACAGCTTTTGAGCAAGCTAGCATGTAAGTAGCCCAGTGTGAACACGGTTGCTTGTGCACATGTTATTCGAAGATGTCGGAGGAGTTGGTTATAGCAAGAGCTGTAGTTATAGCAAATGTGATTAAAATGTATTGTAGACGACAAAATGAGAAACGGAAAAGGAGAAAAGTGTGGTTGAGTGGTAGGAATTTTTATTCCCTATACGTCTAAATACAGATAAAAAGATTTTATCCTTGATGTTCCGAAAGGCTGGGAACTCTTGGTACACTTGTAGGAACTCCGATATATTAGCCCCAGTCAACTTCAGTTTAAATATACGGAAACACCAACACGAAATTCAATACAAGCATACTCGCTTACTAGCCGGCTTCTTACACGCTAGCGTGTAGCTTGTAAACTCGCTGTGTGAAAACACCGATATTATCTCCCCATTAAAATCAGCAACAAATAAGCACTTCTGCAATAGTGAAAATATCCGTGATTATCTATTGTGATTGGGGCAACCCTCATGAACAAGTGCTTCATACTACTCGACGACCATAAAAGGTAACTGTTAATGATATGTTTGTTGATAAGAAGGTTAATAATGATTATTCTAATTTTCCTAGTTACATTTTTCATAACAAATTCATGTACATTTTCCCAGTCATCAAAATTCACGATCAAGTACCAGTTTTTCAGTCATCTGTACACTCTGACTAATATCTCAAAACCAAAACACATTGCTTACTATTCTGAAGTCGTGAGTGTATTATTTACAAAATAAACTACACTTACTTCATTTTTTAAAGTATTGACGATAGAAAATTCACAAATTAACCCAAAACACTCTAAAGTCAGTGGAATAAATTATAGTCGTAGGCAAGAGTCGATAAAAACTGTTTATACCTTGTTGATGCTTTTGAAATCCATTGTAATACAGTTTACAGACCCTAACATCCAGTGTAGAGTTTAGCCTATTGATCCCGTCGTCGAACGTGGGGGCGGAAATGCCGAGATTCCTAGATATCGGCGGTTAAACCCAACTACTCTCAAAACAAGGTCAGTTTTTTATTCCTTGTGGGGTTGGGGTAATAGCCTACCCCTGGCTACTTCGGCCTGGAGACCTATTGTAGCACTTTGACAAGGTCAGTTAAAACAAACTGTAATATTTTACGAGCAAGGGCGGATAATCCAATTATCGGTTATTGCGAAGGTCTACTGTAACTTAAATTTAGTAACCTTGCCAACAAGTGGTTCTTATTAGCCCGATGCTCAGATTGGCGGGGCTCTGGTGTATGGGTTTAGTTTTTGATAGGCCTACAATTATATTTAATCTAACATTAAAAATTCTTACAATAAGTTTTGCTTTCAATAGGGCTTTTGGTAAAAAAAATGTATGTAGAAAGTACACATGTTTGACAGATATCCGTAACCATAACATCAATGCAGTCTATCAGTGACTTAATTTAAGGACGCCCATTTTAATTTAAAATCTGGCTAAATGGGACTAGGGCTTCTACTTCTATGGGGGTCCATGGACGGCGCCGTGCCATTGTGAAATTATTGAGCAAGTCGAAAATTACAAATACCTTGGGGTCATAATTGACTACAAACTTAGCTGGGCTCCACATGTTGATTACATCAACAACAGATTAAGAAAAATGATCTTCGCTTTTTCACAGCTTGGTTGTGTGCTGTCTGTGGACCATTGTAGGTGTGTATACTTTGCGTATGTCCAGTCATTGTTACAGTACGGGATAGTTGCGTGGGGGGCTGCGTCTGCCTCTGTCTTGGCTCCTCTTGCTGTTACCCAGAAATCCATAATCAAACACATACTAAAAAAAGACCAAAGATACCCCACCTACCTACTTTTTCAAAATTTTCCAGTCCTTAACATCAGGAAACTATTCCTAAAAACAGTTATAACCTTTTAAAAAAAAAAAAATAACAAAAGCAAAATTTTCTCCGATTCGCTACATTCTTATGACACTAGATCTAGAACACACATAGGCATCTCCGTTCCCAAATTGAACAATAAAGCACAGCTTCTTACCCCTCACTATCTAGCCCACATTATACGCACTAATCTCCCCATACAGATGAGAGAATGGGAGGGAGACAGTGTCACGGTTTTCAGCAGAAAGATCGGGAGCTGGCTTCTCGGTCTGAGCGATGATGCTGCCGAAGAGCTCATCAGATCCCAGTACAGGGCATAATGAAAGTCGATGACGATTCTAAAACTAAATTAGGCTAAATACCAAACTACTTCAGTACTGGCACCCTCATTCAAGTACTTCAAATATTGTTCATGTTCAGTTTTTTTTCCAACAAGATGGCAAAAAAAATACTTCTTTTTATTTAAATAATTATTTGTTTATTTTGTTATCTTGTCTGTGAAGTGGTGAGCGACGGAGAAGACTCTCCCCACACGCAGATGTACAGTCTTTGTGGGGATTTTTTTCCTTTGTACTTTGCTTTACAGCCACGATTGTAATTTTTGTAATTTGTAATTTTGGAAATAAATATATTTTTATTCTTATTTTAACAATATTCAAAGGGTATCTGTAAGATTTTTTTTACAATAAAACAGTCTTAAAACATAAAGGAAAGAGTACTGTTTTAAAAAAGGACGTGAGATGAACGATAAATTAATTATACTTATTTTGGTTGGTAATAATTAACTTGAGTAAAAAGGCTTACCCAGGCAACTACTAGCCGTTGGTCCAAAGCTTCCCTGACAATATCAGAGATGTAAATCCATTCTTGAGGGATGAGGAAGCCATGAGACTTGGCGAGATTGTGCACTACAGTTGATTTATCTTTTGACTTGACCACTGGTAGGATCCTCTCTCCTGACTTTGATATCACATATTCATTGGCCACCAACTCTAGCTCAGCCATCACTTTCACAAGTAGTAGAAACTCAAGTAGAAGTTCATATTTCTGGAATTAAGTAATAAATTTTCTCAGTAAAATATTTAGATAAAATCTGACTTTGAACTATGACTTTAACATTTATTAAAGAAGCACAATCACTACATGTTACTTTTCTTTATTTTTTACTGAAGATTTGTAACACGTCAAGAATCAATCAAGAATCAAGAATTTATAGCAACAAATTACAAAAAGAACATTTTGTATAGTTGAGGTCAATATGAGAGTAACTTAGGCTAAGAAGTCTCAGTAATCTGCAAGGATAAAATGTCCAGTGGTTAGCATATCAATTAGGGCCTATAGCATTCAATAACTTAGGCTACAAATAATTTAAACAACAAAGTAAGTTACAGATTTAAGGCCTACATCAGTCAGAAACTAAAAACTAATATCAATGTCAGACATGAAAAATTCACTTAAACTTTAAAAAGGGTGATTTAATAACCAGCAAAAAAGTTTACTTTTAAATAACTTAAGATCAACACAGTGTGCCTCAGCTGGCAAACGATTAAACATCTTTAACCCTATACAAGAAAAAGATTCTTGTGACTTTGTTAGCCTGACTAAAGGTAACTCTAAATTATTCCTATGTCTAGTAAAATGACTATGTGAATGTGATCTCAAGGCTACAGAATTAATATTAACTTTTACATAAACAAGTAGACACACATAAATAAATAAACTAAAAACTGTGAGTATTTTTTCCTGAATAAACAAGGGTTTGCAATGGGCTCTGTACTTAGAAAAAGTAATGATTATTAAAGCCTTCTTTTGTAGGAGTAAGTGACGTCAGTACTGTCATACATGGGGAGCCAGTTGGTCTAATGGTAGAGTGTGGAGCTTCAGTCCGTGATGTCCCAAGTTCAAATCTACCAATCAACAAAAGTTTTTAGCTAGTAAGTGATGCTGCGACCTGCTTGGCGTAGCCGGAAGTAATGTGTAAAATAGTTCTGGGACAGAGCCTAGCCCAGAACAATGTAAAGTAAGGACATGAAACAAACAAAAACAAAGTGTTGTACAACCCTTAAAATGAATTGCTTTAAAATTAAACTCTAATAAACTTGTAAATGATATATCCCAACATCATTTTGTCAAAGCTACCACAAAGAAAGCATTGCTAGTAAATAGTAGAAAGCAAATGCAAATTGACTTACATTTCCCAACAGCTTTACTTGATACCCTCTGAGTACAGCGACGCCAAACCTTTGAACACCGAGACACAGGTGTTTCAAATCCTCACTGACTATGTTCCAGCGATTGCCGATGAAGAGTGGCGAGTTCTCCAATATATGACTCAGCACTCTGACCATCAACTTGAACAGCAGGCAAAAGCTTCCATCTAAAAAAAACATTATGAAATGTTTTCACTATTCTTTATTGAATCTTCACTTGGGTTATTTCAAATGCTACAGAATTTTTATGGTAACCTGTAATATCTTTACAGTTAAAAATCTTTTTTCCAATATAAAATCAATACTTTTCATAGCATGGAATAAAAAAAATCCTATTCATGAATCAGCGAAACAGGTTTTAATGCAGGATAAAAACATGCAATAACTATCAGGTGTTAATATTTAAGACTAGTTAAACCTATAGTTTTAAATATGGTTATGAGTTAACTATGACAATGGTAAATAAGTCTCACGGTTGAAATTGTTGACACATGGATTATGTGGATCCATTGGTCACATGGATAGCCTAGCGTTGTCACTTGCAACTCCTGTGACTCGGTCATGAAAGTCTGTGACTGGATCCCAAACCAGTAAAAACTCACGATAAAGAATAATAATACATTTAACGACTTACAGAAAATAAATCAAACAGTGAAACTGAAACAAATTATTGTAAGATGACATAGGGTTGGGTATCATATTGGAATCTATATAAAATTGTTAAATCTGTGATACATTAATGACAAGTACCTACTGAAGGTATCTAAGTAGCTTACCCTGTAGACAGGTGTTTTCCAGAGGGGCTATAAACTCCTTTGAAAAAGTTTTCTCCAACTGCCCAATTATAGATTTCATTTGATTTCCGGTGAGTGAAACCAGTTTTTCAGACAACACTGAATAAAAGCCTTTAGTAAAAAGCATCTCATTGGTCAGACCTGACAAGTCGTGTTCCTTAGAAATCAACACTGCACTTTGGAAAAACAACTCGAAAAACTTATTGAGTCGATTGAGTTCAGAAAATATTTTCACTATGTTTGTCATAAGATTATCGTAAGACTTTAAAACTTTACTTTCTTTCTCCACTAAAATGACATTAAGCATGATAAGAGAGAAAACTGGCCTGACACTTTCTGGATAGAGTTTGAAGATGTTGACAACTGCTTGTAACAACTCGGAGGACAGATTATAGTCTCCAGAAAGCAGCTGTTTTAGAATCAAGATGAGGTGTTGTGAAAGAACACCTTCCTGGGACTCTGCAGACGACGGAACATTGTGTTTGTGAAGTAAATAGACCAGCTGAGCCAATATAGCAAACTTCTGAGCTCTGGAGAGATTTGTAGCAGTAACAGTGACATACGGAAGTGGAAGTTGGAAGCCGATCATAGACGTAAGAGTGTAGAACACACTGAGATGATTCAAATCTGTTGTGCTGTTCTTGAGGCTGGCGCTGACATATTCATCAAAGAAGATAGAAGTGATCGAAATCAAATCACATTTCACGTCATTTTTGGTAAATAAATCAACTAGCATTTTTAGATGAGGAGGTATTTTCTTTTTCGTTCCTTGCTTGAAAGCTTCAGGTATTATTTGTATGTCATCTCCAATGATTACCTGAAATCATACAGTATGTATCATTCATATAGTAGTCACAGGGCAATTCCACGGTGTCGGACGTAGATTTCAGACACATTTTTCTGCTATTTTAATGCTTTAAAATTACTTTTTGTAAAAAACCTTAATCTTTAGTATTTTTATTTGAAAGAACAGTTCTTTAAGAACATTTTCATATGTAACATTTTTTAAATTTTAAAATCTTTAATGGCTAAAAAAAATTTTTTCTGCGGTGTCGGACGTAGAGTGCACAAAATCGATATTTCTTTTTTCCTTATTTGACTTTAAAAATCTGTGAATTTTAAAGAGATAAAACAACAGAAAAAATCATGGATGTAAAGAAACTTATTAGCTTTAAAAAGAGCCTAGGTTCAAGTTTTTTGGTTCAATAGTTTTGACACAAAAAAAATCTCCTACGGTGTCGGACGTAGAATTTTTGGTGTCGGACGTAGGTTGTGTGATTTTTTTTAGATTTACAAATAATAGGTAGTAATTAAATGTATAAAAACGTTCACAATTTTATATGAACCCTTTTAAACATTTATTCATGCATTTAAATGAGCCTGAGCAAATAAAATTACTAAAATCCTCTATACCTGGGTTTAAAATATTTAAATTTCGAACATTTACGTTGCACAATATGGTTTGACATTTTACCTTCAGGGAAAAAGTAAAAGACTGATAAACACTTTACATCTTTTATTAGATATTTTGCTTATTTAACTTAAAAAAGTTACAGCTTCTTAATTCCTACAAATTACCCATTCTCTACAAATTAGTCTCTTTAAAAAAAATAATGAAATGAAAAATTCATGGGCACTTTGGGTTATATGCCTAAAAGTAAGACATGAGAAAATGTGTTCAAGGGAGCACATCTGGAAGTGGACCGATGATACTTTTAAATTTATAGTGGTCTCTTGTTCCTCCGTAAGGTTCAGGAGGCTCAATTTTCAATCTGAATATGAACTGATTTAAAAAGCAGTGCAAAATACAATCTATGAATCAAACTTGGAAAGCAGAAGGAGCTGTGTAACTGAACTCAACTAACATAACCTCAACTTTACACACCAGTGTGCTGTGAACTTTCCCTCCAATTTAAAGATGTTTTTTTCTTGCTGTAAATGTAGTGTGCAGAGAAACAATGTTGCCAAATTGCGAACTTTCTGGCATGCTATTATATTTTCATAGGTAATGTGTACACTTAAACGTTTATTGGTTTCCCATCATGTTAGCCTATATGGGTTTTGTTTAAATACTTTAAAACACAGTTTAGGAGATTTAATAACCAACAGTTGTAGCAAATGTTATATATTTTTTTTTACTTTTGAAGCTTACAAAAACTTATAAATTTGGGTGATATGTTTTTATTTATATTTAACAATGGGGGTGTGGGATAAATTTTACATCTAACTAAACTGAAAGGTTCCTTAGTGCAGGTTAATTGAGTACTATGATAAAAACTCAACTTAGGGTTTTATAGTATATGCAGCATGTTACGGTATTTAACATACACTACCCAATTTTAGTACTTTGGTGTCGGACGTAGAGTCGGACGTAGGAAATATTTTCTACGTCCGACACCATGATTTAAAAAAAACCATACATGATAGATTTTTTTCCAAACATGGATCATTTAGACCTATGTAAACTTGCTTTGCATACTAGTTTTCAAGCTTTCAAAAAAATCCCTCTAGCCACAGTAAAACTAAACGTACATTTTTGGTGTCGGACGTAGAATTTAATCTTTCTTAATGTTAAACATCTGTAGGGTGGACATAAAACCTTTTTCTTAATTCTAAATTGCATTAATATTTAGCTTTACTCTTAAACTATCAAAAAAATAATTCATAAGGCTTATTTGAGTAAATTTTGTTTGTTGGTTATGAAAATAACCAACATGGTTGTAAATCGGAGTGAAAAAAAAAAAAACGGTAGTCTATAAAAAAACATGTATATTTTTTATTTATTTATTTTTTTTTGTAACCAATGTTATGAGTGGAAAGCTACACTAACGAGCTTTCCAAAAATGTATAACAGTAATGGGTTTGATAAAGTTGACAAAAAAGTATAGAGGTTGACCATTTTATGGAATTGCCCCACAACAATGATGCTAATAGTAATCATTTAAACCATTACAGCCTCCAGACCCTCATAATACCTAAGTTGTTTATGGAGTTTGATATCCAACATAAAGGTAGAATGTTAACCTTTCATGGGTAACTTTGATTTTAAAACACAAGAAATTGCTCAAGAGTTTTTCATACTAATATTATAAATGTGAAAGTTTCTGTGTTTGTTTGTTTTTAGTTTAATCATGCATTAACTACTGGTCGGGGTTGAAATTTGGGTTGAACATTTCCGGTTAACATACAGATATATTCTTATCTAAAAATCCTTTCGTGCTCTGTCCCAGTGGCTCTGTAGTTTCCCATTTAACCTTATCAGTATTCATATATAAAAGGAATGAAAGAATTTTGTCAGTTGTTTTAACTACACAAGTTGGTTCTATGCAATAAAAAAGTTCCGTTTACCAACAGGGTGCAGGACACGACAACAGCTAATTTGCACTCAAGCAGCAACAAAAAGCTGTGGTACACAATGAGAACTTGAATTTTTTCTATTGTTTAGGTGCAGTGGAAGAACATTATGGCTATGGTAGATAGGCTATACTATAGTATACCGTAAATTAAAAGAACCAAATAATTCTTAAACCATGTCCTCTGCTCCTCCCCCATTGCAAACGCAAAGCACGAGTATAGCTGCAATAAGCATTTTATACTTATACGCCAACCCCGTACGAAGGACGGGTACTCTGCTAGTATACATATACCCCATTGTAAAGATGACAAGTTGTACAGATTAAATTAATGAGTTACATTAAATACAAACCAAACAATTATTTTATTGGGCCATGAGAAGTACGGTATGCAACTCATAACAGAAAACAAAACACAAGACATGACACACAGAACTGAACTCTGGGAGCTTTGCGCGAGAACACGGCGAGAAAGGTTTAACATGGTTGTCTGTGTTGCGGGAGCCTTTACATTGACATTTTGTTCATCTCAGATTAGAACTGAACTGCTTGGCTGCGATGAGAGCCTGGCGGAAACTTTAATTTACGCTTAACCCTTGAAATTTATCTAACAATGCTATCTAATTTAGTCACTAACCCATAAATAGCAAAGAACTCACAAAATATAATTGTTTTTGTATTATTACTAAGCAAAGCTTAAATTTGGACATAGGCCTATGTTATTAAGCCTGTACCGGTACTCAATTTTATACCTCTGCAACCAAGCACCGAAACTTCGTTGATTCTTTGATGGTCGGGATGGATTTCAATAGTTCGGGCAAGAGAGATTTCACAAACTGTTGTTTCATCTCACTCCGTTGCTGCGTTACTTTGTATATATTACTAACACAAAGGCACAGCTCTTCAGATACCATACTGACTGATGAGGGATCACTTGACGTAGATTCATCCAAAATACCTGGAGAGAAGAAGATAGAATATTCAAGGTTATCAGTGTGTCCTTAAGAAAACAGAAATCCCGCTCATCTGGTCGGGAAAATCCTGTTTTGGAACTTTAATACACTCAAAAATCCAATTTATCCTGCATGCATGAACACGTTCAAGAGTGAAAATTTTGGTGTATCGTGTTTTAATAGATCTTTTAACCTTGCTATAATACTGTACTGGAATAAATTAATCAATTAGGGTTAGTTTTTATCTGAACAGCAGTATGATAAATTAAACACTATTGTCGGGACCACGTAAGTTTGCAGTTGGTGGCAGCCAATCACAAGACAAGGCTAGTGCGACGTTGCCACATCGCCCGTTGGCAATACTTATTAAAATATACTAAGCAATATTTTCAAATCAGCTGGTATTATTAGATTTGGCACCACCAAATCTTTGTTCTCATTGGGTCATTCAAAACCATATGGTAATTAGGCTCCTCCCTCAACCGCAAACTTAAGTGGTCCGGACATTAAACAGACATCAGCAAAAAAAATCCTGCATCCTGTTTTAATCCTGCTCATGGTTTGAAACCCATGTTTCGAGATAGAAATCCTGCGTACTGTATGGAAACACTGGTTACGATATAATGAATAAGTAAGTTGTACCTTTAAATGTTGTAGCAGCTTCTAAGGATTCACTCATTAAAAGGACTGCTTGACACATTGGTTGAATTTCAAACCTACAATATCTTTGGAATCCAGGAGTTTTCAAAAGTAGTAAAAGAAATTTCAATATTTGTTTGCAGTTCTTTCTCTTTAAATCAGAGTCTAAATTTATCACAGCCTGAAACAAAATACCCATTATAATATGTATTACCGTAAATTTATATACAGGGGTGGTGAAAAGTCCCGGCACGACTTGATATTTTTTAACCGTTACAGATGGAGCTACACAAGTTGGTACACTGTTACAGTGCATAAAACACTATTTTAGGTACTTTCGTATTATACGGAGGCCACTTATTTTACAGCGCGCTGTGGCTGTTAGGTTAGATTGGGAATTTATATGTCTGTAGGAAAGGACTTTCCTCGTTTTGTTATGAATTGAGCAATACCAGATGAGTCATAACACAATTATGATAATCCCACCTAACCTAACCGTTGCAGCTCGCTTTATTTTGGTGGCCTCCGTATAATACGAAAGTACCCTATTTTACTACAACTTCAATGAGCCGTTACCACTTCAGGGGGACGGCCCACAAGGAGTCTGAAGAAAATCTTAAATAGAAACATAGGTTAATATGCACATCAAATTAAAGTCCTTTACTTACTAGTAAATTACAACTACCACAAATTTGAACTCAAACGGACAACCAAGTCAAAAATGGCATTGGACATTTTTTTTATTTAAAAAAATAGGTTTATATGAAAAATCACCATTAAAAAAATTTTTTTAAACAATTAGGAAAAAGCCTGGAGATACCATGGATTCGTACCATTCCACATAGGCCTACCAAATTTCGTCAAAATCGGATTACGAGCGATCTGTAGCCTCTGTAAACATCCTCACACATAGACATCACTTTAAACCCCCCTTTTTGGTCCAGGGAGACCCGAAACAGATAATAAAACAGACCCTTAAAACCCTATCAAACACAAGGTTTACTGTATGTTCCCATCAGTTGATCAGAACGTTAAAAAAATATCTAACCTAAAACCTAAATTAAATTTGCGATTTTGATGCTTTGACAGTACATTGAGACACCAATACAAATAAATAAATACCCTGTGTGCTAAACTTAAATGCATGAATCACAATGAACTTACCTCAATCAAACTGGATGCATCAATAGTGTTACTGAATGTTTCAAAACAATCACTTCTTAAGCATTTGATTAACATTTTCAAAAGGGATTTTGTTTGTGCAGAGTTGTCTAAGAAGCATTGAGCAAACCAGTCAATTACTATTTGTTCTTTCCCATTCACATTAAACTCTTGAGACAGTAAAGCTCCATAGGCAATATTTAGTCTGTTATCTAGACTAAGATCTTCTCCATACAGTCTTTGTGCAAACTCTGTAAAAGATTGATTGTTTACATTACCAAAATAAACATAAGTTATTAAAAAGCACACAAGGAGCTATGATTAAAGGTACCTGTTCATTAATATTATAGGCCTAATGGTAGATGTTCAAAAGGAGTTAACTTACAATTTAAAACTACGAGGGTGGTTCTTTAAGTACCTAGGTAGCATAATTGTCGCTTTTAAGTATGAATCCGTGGTTCGCTTGTACACCACAACAAAGCTCTTTGCAACTTACTGGCATCATTTGTGAACAGAATGATACCATTTGAAGCTCTGTGGGCTGACATACATGCTTCGCAAAAATGTTTAAACCATTGAATCTCTTGCTGCTTGCAGAGAAGGTCAGTGATATACATTTTTTAGCACTAGAAACATATCCGATGCTGATATTAATCGCCAGATGACTGAAGTTTATGACGCTAATGCAATGTTAGTGGGGAAAGTGGAGAAATAGGCTAGGGGGTTTAAAAATTGATGTGCAAATGTTCTTTTCGAATGAAGTTGTGTTTTAGTGGGGTTTCCAGACTTCTCACAGAAAAGGAAAAAGGATTTAGGCCAATTTTTTCACTCCATAACCCATTTCCACACTTTAACTATCCTCGCTCATTGCATTAGGCCATAGCCTTCAGTCATCTGGTGATTTTAAAGGTTACAGATTGTTTCCGATGTGCCTAAAGTGTTACACAGGAGTTGGGAACACATGTTTAAAGAAAATGATCTTAACAAACCAAGAAACAATTTTTTGAAAAGAAACATTTTGATGTTCACAACAGTTTTTTTAGTGTTTGCAAACAGTCCTTTCCCACCAGGGGTCAGTAAAGATCACAGGGTGTAGCAAAAATTGGTTTGAGACACATGTTTCAGTACTTCTACGCTGTTCACAACACAACCACGCTACCCCCCTGTGCCTACCCACCACCATGTAACAACACATAATAGCTTGTGATAAAAATTAAGCTGAAGAGACCTGTCGCTCGCGGCAGCTATAAGAATTCACAGAAGTGATGGTTTTGGGTTCGACCGTCGCTTGCTTCGAGAAATACCGTAAGTACAGTGAAACAGATTTAATACGGGACCTTAATGATGACCATCCATCATTAAAAGGAATAAGGTACCAGTAGCTTAAAAACCTTTTTACATATGACGAGTGAAGATTTTGAGTTCATCATAGGCATGATTGGCCACAAGTTTGATTTGATAGAAAAAACACGGCATTCAGAGTGTTAGACTTTAGCACGTATTTCTTTTGATCTTTACTGACTCCCGATGGATAGCCTAGCACAATTTTTTCTAACTTATACATAGCGGAATCTGCTATTCTTTGCAGTGTTAAGTTTTAAAAGTTAGCACTTTTGAAAAAGTTACTTTTTCTACTTCTAGCAAAATGTTATATAGGCCATATCTTAAACATTGCTAGATGTTACACAAATCTGCTGTAAGTATATAGCAGATCCACTCCGTCACCCGCTTTGCTGTGGGGATTTTAAATTAAAAAATTAATTGCAAAGTTTGTACCGGACGAGAAAGCGAGCTAATAAAAACATTTTTAAAAGAAAGAGGAGAAAGAGGTTATATTTTTTGACAGCTATACTCACGTGTTTTCAAGTCACTTTTCATGTTGAGGCACTAACTAACTAGGACCTAATGAACTAGCCACGTCGTTTAGTAGAATAATGGTAAAAATATTTGTTAGGTACACCTAATAAATGGCCATTTTAAGGGCAAATAACTATTTCTCAAATCTTTGCAATAGTATTTGACAAGGTCGAGGAAGTTGAGGTTAGGTTTACATGCGAAGAACACTGAGCTAAAATTATAACTGGAGGTAGCACTGCCATGGCAGAAGTCTGTCAAAAGTGAGTCGCTGATTTTGTTAGGTTGGTATAGCAGTAAGTTTTATTACCATAGCAATAACATGGCTTCTTATAACTAGGTTGGTATAGCAGTGAGTATTTTTGTCATACTTGAATACTTTTAATACTTTAATAATTTTCTTTGAAATGGCAAACATACAAAGTAGGTATTTTAAGCCAAGTATAATAATAGTTATAGCAATAATATGGCTTCTTATGGACACCCACCTCACGCAAACATGGCGGCTGGCGACACGCATCTTTGACATTCAGTGCTACCTCCAGTTAGAATTATAGCTCAGTGGCGAAGAACCAACAAACCAACAAACAAACAACAACAAGTTGAAGTTAGTGTAGTGAGTGGAACAAGAACAACGAATCGAATATTTTATTCTTCTTTTTTATGGCTAGGCTATGGCTTATTGAAAATCCATGCAGCTTCGAGGTTTGAGGTACACTATATGTGGTTGCTTCCTTTATATCAATGTTGATAATGTGTTATTTTTAAGTTTAATAAATTACATATTGTATAAGCTTTAGGTTTTATTAGATTTTAAAGCACACAATATGTAAGTTTTTATTTTTTTCACATGTGTGTAAAACAGATAGGATGTCTAAGGTTCCTGGGAGAGGAAGGGAAGGGAGAGAAGATATCTTCTTCAACTGGGGCATGATTTTTATTTCATCGCCAGTTTTCGATACATATGAAAGTAAAACACTATATCACGGCCGCCTTTCACTCCAGACTCTAGGCCGCGCGGCCTTCGAAGTGGCAACGTCGCAAGTAAGGTTGCAACTTACTAACTAACAGCTGTTTTAAAGGTGGCCGTGATTCTATTGGCTGCGATGGCGTGACGTTATAGACAACGCTGATCAAGCTGTCTGATCCCCTGAAAATGTTCCCTCAGAGTAATTGAGATATTCCTAATCCAGTTAGTTTAGTTTTTTTTTTTCAAAAATACTGTGTTTTCAAAAAAAAAAATATGCAAAGTAGCTATATGTAAAGTAAAACCTCTTTTTAAAAAGGCGGACAGAACCGATCCGGGCAACTATCGTCCACTCTCACTTCTTCCGTCAGTCTCAAAATTAATTGAAAAAGTTGTTTATTGGAGCAATTCACTGAATTCATTTGACGTAAACAATATTGTCTGTAATAGACAATATGATGGGTTCAGAAAAAACAGATCCACCAAATTAACTCTCATTGATTTTGTTAATGGATTGTTTTGATGCGCGGTTGCGGTTGATGCCGGTGAGACAGTGGTGGGTTGCTTCGCCGACTTGTCAAAAAGCCTTCGTTATAATATAACTGTGTCGATCTAAATCAGAAATCAGAAACTTTTTATTGTCGTAATTTGCAAGGTACATGCATATGACAAAGTCAACAATGAGGTTACAAGTTCAACCAAGAGGAAAAAAAACTAGTCATGACTTGTCTTCTACCGCGGCGCCGGACCCCGTGTGTAACGTTTTTAATGTATTGGCCAAGTTTATAAATGTTTTTTTCGTACCATTCGCGTGTTAAGTGTTTTTCGGTGTGTTTTTCAAAAATTGACGACCTTCACGTGAGGAAAATGTTTTAACTTTTTGACCTTCACCTGAAGATGTGCTCCACGAGCACGAAACTGCAGTAGTGACAAACTACACGCAAGGACCATATTGACAGAGGTAAATTAAACCATTATTATAAAAAAAAAAACTAGATAAAACCTTCACTTTAAAAAACATTCATACAAACCGATACCAAATTACAGAAATTAGAGAAGAAAATCAAATTTTCAAAATAAAAAATGTCATGTCGACTCCTCAAAAAACCACAAGAGGAGTTCTGCAAGGATCCTCGTATCATCAATTAAATTGATTGATATGCTACATAGATTAACTAGGTGTACAATGTGGACATGTGGTACACAATGCAGTTGTCTGTTTTCAATACTAAGCGGACTAGCGGAGCTCGGAGCAAACTTATAATCAAAAGAATTTTGGGAAATGTAATGTAACAACTTATTTGATTGTCCCCAAAGTAATAACAAATTTTGTTATACATTATTCAGAAATGTGATAAACCCAGAATGGCAGCATAATAGATACACTAATGAAATAAGATGATTTGTTTTCATATAGTATATTTTGTACTGACTGGTAAACTTTCCATAGCAGTATTAATTATTGTTCATATTTCTAACAACATTAGGCAAGCTGCAAGCAAGCCAAGAAGCCAGCCAGCGCCAGCTAGCAACTCGGAGCCATTAAGAAAACCTTGTGAAAACTCCTTTTGGCACGGATTACTTTTATTTTTACAGTGTTTAAAAGTGTTCTTTCCGTGGATTGTGTCTACAAAAGTGTGCTTGGGATGATATTGTTACAGTGTTATTCCAAGATACTGTGCATAAACTTTAATTCGATGTATTTTTCTTGTTTGGCCTTGAACATTCCGTGTTTGGTGTAAGAAGTGTATCTACGACATAACTGAACATTTTTATCTGCCATCTTGTGAATTCTGTTGATTTTTATGGTATTAAGAGAAATTTCAATACCTAGGACTAATACGATCAGTACAAACAAATGTTTAAATGGACGCATCGTCCATTATCACTCAAGTCTCACGCGATGACGACCAACTAGGAAACTATTCTCCTGATAAAGGTAAGATTGTGTTTTCATAACACCATTAAACCCTACTCTCATCTTGGAACATGCCTAGCATGTTGGTAAGAAATTTTTGATAAAATATTAGTCATCTCAAGGATATTATAAATATCTGGGTCCCATATTAGCCTATTTTGATTGGGGATTGGGTTCTGCCCTTAGCCTAGGCCTAGCCAATAAAGTTATAATTTAAGCTTAGGCCTAGGTTTTTAAAGTCTAGACTAGTGTAGGCCTATAGGCATAGTTTTGGTTACCCATAAATAGGCTAGTTCAGGCTACCTGGCCCTTTAAGTATGGTTTAGGCCTAACCTACAATATACAAAAGAGCCCAAGGCTAATTTAGGCCTACATAGGCTAGGCCTAGTCAAGGTTGTTGTATTTTTATTATTTTATTTTATTATTATTACTATTATTTCAACGTAACAAACAGGTTACACTTAGGCCTAGGCTGGGATAAAATTTTGCCAAAGTGCTACAAACTCAGACAATTGTAACAAAAATATTTGCAAATATTTAGGCTACTGTATTTACTTTGGGATATGATGTAATGAAATGAAATGAAATGAAATGCTTTATTTTCCATTAGGCATGAAATGCAATAGGCATCGTCAGAACAAATAACAATTGATGTAATCTTATATGTCTACTTACAGTATTTTTAACGCTGAATCCAAAAATGCAATCAGTTTTTGTCAGAGAGATTCCTAAGTTGCCGTAGTGGCCGTAAAACGAAGGTTAGGATTACGAATCTAAGGATAATTGAGCGGTATTGAAGGTAGGCCTAATGGTAATATTGCGTGGTCTGAACTGGACGGGTCCACGGTACTGAGTGAGGAGTGAGGAGGACTGAGTGAGAAAGGCAAACAACTGTTTATACTTGATCTAATGCGGAATGAAATAAAATCAATTCGTTTTGAAACCTAATAGGCTACCTAATCAGTTCTTATTTAGGCATGTGAGGAAGGTAGGTCGGGTTTTATGCGGATTCGTGACTGTAAGTATTAAGTGTTTTGAAGTGAGGTTAGATTAGGAAGGTAAAGGTTAGGTTATAATGAACCGACTCATTAATTTATGCAACTTCCAGACTGTTTTTGCACAATTAAATAGTGGGTGAAACACACACATACAATGAATAACTTAGCGTCAAACAAAATATAAAGATGAATTATGCTCTACTTATCGCTATAACAATCATTAGGCCTATCTTTTCAAAACAAATGTTAAGCTTAAGAAGAATAAACAAAAACAAAATTAGGCTAAATCAAATCATCTTTCTAAACTATCATTTATGATTTCTCTTGGATTCCAAAATTCATCCAAAGAATACAAAGACAAGAAAGGAGATAATTGTTCAATCTTTTTTTAAAAACATCAAAACTTTTTTCCTCTATTATAACTTTAGGTCAATTAAATAAGAATTTTATGCCAATGAAACTACATTTCTTCTCAAAAAACTTTAATTTATGTCGTTCAACCTGCCTAGTATGCCTTAATTTATAGTGTCGAATAAGTTATTTTGTAGGCCTACTATTAGTTTGGAGGTTTAATTTTTTTACATGTAATATAGTTTGATAAATATACAAGTCATAGACTGTCATTATAACACCTAATTTAGAAAAGAATGGTTTCATTGATTGGCGTTTATTTTTAATTTTGAAAATAATTCGGAGTGCTTTTTTTGATGATGAAGAATTTTATCCAAATTTTTCTGGGTAGTTCAATGAAATAACGATATCAAAAATACGCAAGCTGTTGTACAGTAAATAATTACCGCATTTTTAAAAAGATTATTTATTTATCTAGGCTATCCCAATGGTTCCATTTAACTTAAATTTAAGTTATTACAGTTTGGTAGCCTACTAAACTAAATTAACAAAAATTAACATGATATTTAACAGAGATTCCAACGATAATGTAGGGCAACTTAATTAATACTAGCTAACAATAAAGATCTGGTTGACATAAGAACTTTAAAAAATATCAACAAATATGCTAGCCTATAGCCTACTTTAGTTGGCCTACCGGTAATACCCAATGTTAACAAATGATGGATAATAACAAGCAACAATACCAACAATTACACAAAAAATAGACTACCATGGTAATGAATAACGATACCAACACATTTTTATAAACTATGCACAGCTATAACTTTTAAAGTAACAACAAACTTAAAGTTTGCCAGTAAGTTTAACATTTAGCAATTTTACTAGGCCTACCTAACTTATTAGCATAAGGGGTCTTAATAAGGGTAGGGACGTATAAGAAGATCACAGTGCTCATGTAATGTCTTCTCTCGGGCTGGTCTTGGAATGCGTAATTATCATGTCGGAACAGATATTTTTCTTGTAAGTAGGCCTACAGTAGGCCTAACTTATTGTCCTAGGCTACTATTATTGTCGTTTTAAGGTTTTAGGGAATTCAATTCCTGGGGTGTGGTAGGCCTATTGTGTTTATTAAAAAAAAGTAGGCCTAGCCTGTATAGTATTAAAGTTGTGGAGGAACTTTAATTAGTGTTACTGTAGGTTAGGTTTGATTATATTCCGATCAATTCTTTGATCCGTTATCTCGTTTCTGCCATTTAACTTACTATATATTTAAAAACTTCAGGACACAATTTAAACACAATTCAAACATCAGGATGTGCGTTTAGGGTCAAGTAACTAATTGGGTGTCGCAAATTTGTACCGAACCTTAAGGTGCCATTTGCGCAGAGACCCCTCGTACAACATTTGGTTAGGTACCGAACAGCCCTAAGATCCTAACTTTCAAATGAGGACTTTAAAAATAAAATGCTGAACTCATTTTTGACCTTGGATATTATTTACTGTAGCCTATGCCTTTATTTTTTGGTGATGCATCTACCCTTATAATAAAAGACTTAAGTAGGTAGCCTAATATATTAACTTAAGGTGTTAAAGTACAGTAGACTCTCTCTTATGCAGAGATCTTTTAAACAGACATCGTCATCGGTTTAACCACACTACACACGGCAGAAGTAACATCCCGTTAACCGGAAAATCATTATATTAGTTTAACAGGACTGGAACAGCAGGAAGTGTGTGGTAGGGTACTGAAACGACTTTTCTTGTGGGAAAGATTTGGAACCAGGTGATGGCAAGTCTACAATGCTTTCCCAAACTTAAAAGTAAAATATTTGGAATAGATTTAGGTTGTTTCTTAAGTTAACAAACTCTGAAAAATGTAGTTTGCACAAAAATGTAGCCTAATTGATTTGTTCATCAGCTTAAAGTTACCGTACTAAATTAACTTTATTTCCAGGTCACATACAAAGGGTTGACAACGATGTGTGTGTGCCAGGTATGTTGTTTGTCTAAGTTTTATAATTTATAACTTACAGTGCCCTAGCCCAACTTCACAATAAGTTAGATGTATTTAAATATCAGGTACCGTATATTAAATTGTCAATTATCAAAGTCAAAATGAGAATAGTCAATTTCAGTACAACATTTCAATAACTATTTATTTAGCCTACTCATTTTACAATATTAAAACATGTGATAATTAATCTTCACAAACAAATCATACAGCAGAAATATAAAGATTAATCAATGGTCATATATAAAGCCTATATATGAAATTAGTCAAATAGTGATTTGAAATGTTGTACTGAAATTGACTAGGTATTCTTATTTTGACTTTGATAATTGACAATTTAATAAGGTATTTCCATTGTACCAGTATCCAAAATGATCTCACCACTTGTAGTTTTCTTTTTACTAGTCTAGTCTAAAAAAATAAATAAATTTAAATAGACTGGGACGGGTGGCGTCGTCCTGTCCAGCTACTAGGAGGTCACGAATTGTGGATATTTATAGGTTCACTGTGGATGCGAATATGTCGGCCTTAGTCAGTAACAAGACTACAAGATCGCGCCACTTATCCTACACTCATCTTTATTCATACTTGGCTTAAAATACCTACTTTGTATGGTCGCCATTTAATCGAAAAGTATTAAAGTATTAAATGAGTTAATGACACAACACGTTGGTTTAGTGATTACCTATCAAAATCTGACCTTTTAGTGAACTTCCCAATAGGGAAGTACTGTGTAGCTATTACAATACCGTACCATAGGTGACACGGTAAGACCTAGACCCAGGATTGATTCCTTTTTGCATTCAATGTCCCCAGAGGCCAAAAACACTTTAAAATTTGTATATTTTACAGGCCTATATCTATACTATAATACAAGTAACATTTGTGCACAATGATTTCAAAAACGGCTCCTATGATTTCCTCTAAAAAGTAATACCGGTACCTACTGTATCTTAGTTTCAGGCTTAAAAACAATAGGCCTATCCATGCTAGCCACTGTTCTGGGAAATTTTTTTACGTTATAAACTTTAAATGAAATTTCAATACATATTTAACATTGGTCTTATGGGAAGATAGGTAGCCATGGCAGTTTTACGAACATTTAAAATTAATTGAAACATCTTGTAACAAACCATCTACAGTACAGTGGCATATTACTAAATCTATACAGTAGGTACAAAAGAAAACGAAATTCCCCTAAATACCATTTAGCATTGGTTATTTAATACACTTAGGGGTTTTTTATTGAAAGCAATGGAATAATTACGACTATCGTAGAATACCTACCTCTAAAGATAATACACTAACGCTTAACAAAGAGTTGAGGAAAACCCAAGGACGTTCTGTAGTTTTAGATGCGCCACCAGAATGGGCGGTTGTTTGACGATCCCACGGATTATAAAATAGAAACTTTGTGGACCTAAACAAACAATTTATCCGAAAATAAACAGGTTTGTATTATTATTTTAATGCAACTGTCAAAAAATGTCCAAAACACATGTAGAGATTATTAATATTAGATTCCATCCAGTGAAGTTATTCTTTTTATGTTTTTGATCGAAACTGTTTCTGTTCTAATAACCGTGGACGGTCCCATTGTTGTTACGTTCCACGAACCAATGAGTAACATGTCGCTACCAGAGAGTGCAAAATATTCGCAACTCGTAACAATATACTATACTGGTCATTAGCTGATATGTTAAACATTCTCTCGAGTTTATTATTGAACTCCATTGTAGATCATTTCAATGTTGACTGTTCTTCTGAATGGAAATGATTGTTAATTAAATAAAGAATGACGAGGGAACGTCTATTCTCTGTATACACTAACTTGGCGTCTGAACCCTAGTCTACCTGCGGACGGACCGGGGCCGAAACCTTTCTCGCCCACTGTTGAGCAGCTGTTCCCATAATTAGTCACATAGTAGCACCTCCACTGCAATTATGAACTTTTTTGTGCGGGACGGAATTTTAATTTTTTTTCTGCACAAGCAAAAAGTTCATGAAATTTTAAGAAAAATGATACTAAACTTGACCATATTCGACCATATCGTTAAGTTAAGCTTACGTTTAAATTTTTTTTTATCTGGTTGATGGTTGATATAATTGTATTTAAATTTAATTTACCAAGATACCTAACAATTTTATTCATATTACAAATATGTCGAGTGGGGGGGGGGGGTAAAATATTCATATTACGCATACCGTTGATATTGCTATTTATATCTTTAAACCAACCCCCATGTTTTCCGGGAAATGAGTGATTCACGTCCTAAGACCTCTGACGATTCTGACGTTGGGGTATCGTCATTAGATTATTCGTGTATTGAAATGCTATTGATGAAATATGTCTAATCTGCCGAAAAACTACGGTAGGCCCGTCGTAGGCCTACGCTTTATACAGAAATTTAATTAGCTTAACAACATTAACTCAACACATACACACAAATCTGTAATTTTTTATCGACAATTGCCATATCATTAGAAACATGATGATTGTATGATTATTTTAAGCTTATTTGGCCCGTACAAAATGACGCAATTTTGACTTTTCATGCCAAATACTACTTTCGCTTGCATTTACGATTAGTTTTTTTTTTTTTTTACCTTTTAACACATAACATTACCTATACTTAATTAAACGTACGGTTTAAAAGTGTTTCACGTTTACAATATAAGTCCTATAGTCTTAAATGTGATTGGTTAGATCTACTCAAAGAAACATATGAATTAGGTTGTGACAAACTACATCACCTCAACACGTTTTACATGTTTTTACTTCTTAAACTTTATTCCCCTAACAATATTAGGAAATTTAAATATATAAATCTCCATTCCTTTTTTGTGTTTGCAGATTTGCGGTGCACGTCTGATTTAATTAAAAATAATTCATACATAACGATATTACAGTTTTATTTCTATCCCTAATAAAGTTTCTATTCCTCAGTAGCTACTGTACTTATGCCTGTAGGTTCTACAAACGTAATAAGAATATGGTCAAGTTTGGTATCATTTTACTTATTTATTCATGGACTTTTTGCTCGAACAGATAAAAATGTAAAATTCCGCCCCGCACAAAAAAGTTAATAAGTGCATTGGGGGTGTGACTAGGTTACTAATTATGGAAACAGCTGCTCAAGAAGTGAGCGAGCAAGGGACGGTCCCGGCCCGGTCGCAGGTAGTCAAGGGTCCAGACGCCAAGTTAGTGTATACAGAGAATAGGCCTACTGAAGAGAAATTGGCTTTAAAACTTAATTAAACGTGGCAAAATTGAAAATGGAGATGTTTTACACGGAAAACAAAAAAGGTTTAATGTTTTTATAGGTTAACCCGAGTTCTAAATTAATAGATTATATATTTTAACATGTTTGTTTGATTTAGACATATTTTAACACGTTCACTACTGAAAACTTTTATACAGGGGCTCCTAAACTGCTGCGAGGCCCGGGCGGAGCCCTGGCACGCTTACTGAAAAGCGATCAGTTTTGGCATTGAAATATCTGAGTAAGACGAATCACAAAAGAGCAGTGGTGATTGTTCTGCGTTACCCCGAAAGTGGACATACTTCACTGAAACGCTCAAAGGTAGCAGCACTGCCTGGATCAATAACCAGAGTCTTTGTAATATGGCTCGAATAGAGAAAATCCCCGAAAACGGGACAAAAGCATTGCCAGACGGGATTTTACGGGAATATTTAGTACCAACCAAAACAAACATGTTAAAATAGGCTATATCTTTAAAGCTTGCATTCTACGCTACAGGCTGGCAACAATTACAACGTTCCCCGGCAATGGCTGAGCTCACATTAAAGCAAAGTTATTGGCATTGGTGAAGGACGTGATTTCCCGCCCCGCACCAGTGGCGCCGGTATCGTGGGGCGAGAATTCCCGCCAGAATTCCCGCCCCTCGCACTGAACGTGTTAAATGTAGGCCTACTGTAATTCAGTATAAAAACTAACCTCTTCCAATACTTGTATAAAATATATGCTCTTGACTCAGAGCATTTAAAGTACCTAAATGATAGGTACCACATATTTTGTCTCGCAAACCCTTAAAGTATTCAGAATGTTTACTTGCACTTTTTACTAACTATTTTGCCGTTTTTATGTAAAGACTTTAACTTATTTCTAAGAGTAGATTCATCAGTGGAATTCATTAGTTTTGAGCCTAGATTAAAAATTGGAATTTTTTACTGTGTTGGTAATGAGAGTTTATTTAGGCCTACTGTAATCAATCTTAACTTAGGCCCACAATAGAAACTCCATATTTACAATACAGTAAATTAATTTTATCAAATAGGCCCCTAACAGTACAAAAATTGATAGTAAAAAAATAAAGGGATTCACAATAAGAGTTTAGGCTACAATTTTTATGGTGGAATGGCCTCTGGATTGTCTGAAGATATTTCCTAGACAGTTATCATAATTACATTGCTTTACTTTTTACTTACTACAAGTTTACTGTATCAAAATAAGAAGGTTACAATACCTGCAGACTGCCTTTAGTGGTCCTTAAATATCCAACAGGATATTTAATCCAACAGGATATTATCCTGTTGGATATTTAAGGACCACTAAAGGCAGTCTGCAGGTATTGTAACCTTCTTATTTTGATTTGCATGAAGTGGCCTAGAAAAACAACTAGAACATGAAAGTTTACTGTATATTTAACCAAGCCAAATAATTTGAATGTCCGAAAAGGTCCCAAATAGTTGGGAATCACAAGACTGGTATTTTTTTTTTGTGATATTTATGTCAGAATATAAGCTCTGCATGGCACCTCAATTACCCTTGGCTTGTCTCCAGGACAAGTGGGCAAGAAGTCTCGGCGTGGAGTGCTGCGGTCCTTACTGTGCTGCTGGGGCGGTTCTGCCAGCTCGAAGGCGTCCAAGACCTCCGGCGGCAGTGAGGGTCGCTGCTCTCCCCCTCTCTCCCCCGGCTCACCCCGCTACCTTCTGCCTCCCGTCCGCCATCAGGACATGCACAAGAAGTGCATGGTCATTGACTTGGACGAGACTCTAGTGCATAGTTCATTCAAGGTAAACCAGTTAAGAGTTATTGAGCACAGTATTGTGTTATATATTTTTATCATGTACCCTATATAGTTTCCCGTGTGTTGTATCTTCATCTTCGTCTTCATTTCATAAAATGTAGGCCTAGATGAAATTCTGTCAACATACGTTTTCTTATCTAGATTGCTAAAACTAGTGATTTTACTGTAGTCCAAAACAGAAAATGTATGAAAATGAATGACCTTCAAATTGATTATCCTTTAAACTCTTAACATTGGGCCCAGCTGATAAAAATATAAAATGCAAATTAAAGTAACAGAAAACAAACAGAACAATCAATGGAGGTAATGATTTTGATTTAAAGCGATTTCCAAATTATCTTTGGTATCTCAGTATAGATTAATATTGAATTCAATCAAATTTATCATTGCTTGTTTAAATGTTCCTTACTAGGCGTCTCACTCCTTTTTATCTCAAGCTATGTGATAACTTAATCTTACAACAACAACACCTTTCTTTTAAATTCCCCCAACATTAGATTTCTAACTAAACCAAAACCTACTTAAATGATACCTGAGACGATACTTAATTGATACTCTCGCTTCGAATCAAATCAAACCAGCGACCTTCAGATTTTAAGGAGAGTACTTAACTAGCTATTTACTTTTATAACCCTGTTATGACCCTTTTAGTATTGCAGATATATTATGTTTGAAAGCATCAAACTATAACTTAGTCTGGTATTTTAATTAACTCAGATTTAAAGTGTATGGATATTCCATTTTAAGACCTCCTCGATTGCGTTGATATAAAAAGTCCATTATTTTAATGACTGGATTGTTTCGAATGGCCTTCTCTAGTAGGATAAATATACATGTATTGTACTACTAAATGATTGTGTTTCTTATCAAAATGGTTATTATTTTACCACAGCCTAGTTTCTTCTTAATACTTTTATCTAATCATTGAAGGTTTATCTTGAATAGGACACTAAAGTATAGATGACTTAGTGTTGTTTCACCAGTCCAAACAAAACCGTTCTACTCTGCAGTTTGATATGTAGTTAAGAACGTAAAATGTTATCTTTTTGTGATATCAAAACTTTGCAATCAATATATTTTGGTCCATACTCCAAACCCATATTTGGGTGACCGCACTTAAGGTTTATGGGATAGAAATAACTTTTCCCCATTTCTGATCCCAAAAACGGTTTGCTATTTCTTGCTAAAATATTTTGTAGAGTTTAAAAAGCAAAATATAAAAATTAAGGAGAAAATTCCAAATAGGTCTATACCGTGACTGTAAATTTTAATTTTTCATGTTAGCTTATTCTTTGGAAAATAACTATCAACATTAAAGAAAATGCTTATACCTTCCCTGTAGCAGCAAACTTAAGTACTCATTAAATAAATGTTATTTAAATAGGGAATACATTAATAAGTTATGACATCACATTTTAAACTAGATATCTTAGTGAAAATTCAATCAGGCAAATGGAAATTCGCTTAGTCAGCTGTTTGCTGCGGTGGGGGTATTATCTTTTTTGTACAATGCCTGTTTATTTTTTTTTGTTATGTAACTTAATCAAGCCATTGATGCCATTCTTATTTCTTGTCCAGGGACTATGCATACAAATTTATATATCTTGAATTTTAATTAAACGATTGTAGTCACAAGGATTATACCTAGTTTATTTTCACATCATAGGGGTTGCTAAATTATCCCTCTAGTCTTAAAAAAATCTTTATTAAATAGGGGGTTTAGATTATTTAACATTATCTTTTAACATTTTTTGATTCTCAAGTTTCTGTAAATTTATGTTGTGCATTTGGATTCATCAGTTTTTGCCTTTCCAGCCAATCAACAACGCAGACTTTGTTGTGCCTGTGGAAATAGATGGGACCGTCCACCAAGTGTATGTGCTCAAGCGCCCATACGTAGACGAGTTCCTTCAGAGGATGGGAGAGCTCTATGAATGCGTCTTATTTACGGCTAGTTTAGCTAAGGTAGGCTACTGACTTAGTTTTATTTAATGAATAGGCCTACCCTTGTAGGAAATGATTTCATTCATGGGCAAGTTTGGCGATGGTCTGGCAATCGCTAAATCTCATACAACACTCGTCCAGAGATGAAGCTACAGATCATAGTTTAAATCTTGGCAAATTACGGGCAAGAGTTAAATATAGGCCTAATTTTCTTTTTCTGTCAGATGAATCTGAACATGATGTGCAAAATATTGTTCTCACTAATTGGAATAAAATACGTCTACTAACAATACTTGAGAGTATATCAAAATAACTGCCAGTCTTATGCACACATTACCTAGAGACTAGCCCAACGTATTCTTGCCAATGTTCATACAGTTTCTTGCCACTGTCGATACAGTTTGATACATAGTACAGGTTGACTTGCCGAATAAGGTCATATTCGAAGTATATTCTTAAATAAGCTAATATGTTTTGTTCATGGCTTCAACTTAGTGAGTCTGTGGCTCTGTCATCAGCTTGACAAACTGTGGAACCAAGACAATGTCGTGGGATCGAGTCCTGATGCTGCCATTTGTAATTCATCAGTACAACTCGTACTGTATTGTGTTAGCTCACACCTTGCACGGCTTGATATGTTCCATGCACAAAACTAACTTTGAAACCCAGCTAATTTATGGCTGCTGACTTCTTAATCATGATATTCTTATCTTGTTGTGTCCTTGGCCAGTCCATCAGTTTGTCTAGGTGTCATAGGTGATGCTAAACCAATCTTATGGTTAAAGTTGCCATCTCTACTTCTACACACATACACAACCACCTATTATCAGATTTAAATTAGCATGTATGCTGTGGTAAATTATGTAAAGTGAAGATAGATGGAGAAACCACAACTAAATTTAATGTGAATACGGGGGTGAGACAGGGGGATGGACTCTCCCCCCTCCTATTCAACATTGCTCTAGAGGAAGCCCTACAAACAATAAAAGATGCACACATAGGACTAAAACTAGGAACGAATATTAATATATTAGCTTTTGCAGATGACGTAGTACTGATGGCTGAAAGAAAAGAAGATCTTAGGGTTTTAACGGAGATACTAATAAATGAAACTGAGTATGTAGGGCTAAAAATAAATGATGCAAAAACCAAATTCATGATAGTAACAAGAGGAGAAGCTGGAAATAATGAAGAGTTTCTTCAAGTCAACAACCATGAATTCCAGAGTAAATAATTTCACCTATCTAGGCGTTCTACTATCTGACAAAAATACGGAAGACATGGAAATTCAGAATAGGATAAATTTAGCAAATAAGAGTTGGTACGCATGCAGTAAACTAATGAAATCAAAACTTTTAACGAGAAAGACAAAAATTAGAATCTACAAAACTATAGTAAGACCTGTACTTTTATATGGAGGGGAAAATTGGATCCTGAGCAAGAACTCAGAAAAGAAAATAATAACTTTTGAGAACAAAGTTTTGAGAACTATATATGGGCCAGTATGTGAAGATGGAGTATGGAGAATCCGCCACAACCGGGAGCTAAGAGAATTATTTCAAGACCCTGATATCATTGGAGAAGTTAAGAGTAGAAGATTAAGGTGGGTTGGCCATATCCTAAGGAGAAAGGAGGAGAGTCTACTGAAGATAGCACTCAGAGGAAATCCGAGGGGAAGAAGACCAATAGGTAGACCGAAAGCCAGGTGGTGGGGTCAAGTACGAAAAGATTTGGAAAGGATGAGGCTTGTAGAGGAAGATGCATGGGACCGAGACTATTGGCGACAGCGTGTTGGCGAGGCCAAGTACCAGCTAGGGTACAAGTGGCCATGGCAGTAAGCAGTAAGTAAGTATGCTGTGGTCAGCAATATTAATTTTACTAAACCAGTTTTCAACGTCTTCCTTGACTCAACGATGATATAATGTGTTACGTTTCAGTATGCCGACCCTGTTGCTGACTTGCTGGACAGATGGGGCGTGTTCCGAGCTCGACTGTTCAGAGAATCCTGTGTCTTCCATCGTGGTAACTACGTCAAAGATCTCAACAAGCTAGGTCGAGATCTTCAGAAAGTCCTCATCGTAGATAATTCACCAGCTTCCTACATCTTTCACCCGGACAATGCTGTGAGTATTACAAGTCACTTATTCCTAAAGGCTTAGTTGCTCGGTTGCACAGGTGAGTTTACAAGCTAGCAGCTGGCAAGTTAAAAAGCAGGCCTATCGGCGAGTATGACATAGAACTCCTCCTACATAATCAAGACTAATCCTACTTGTCACAGTGTACAGTAGGTGAATTTGGATAGTTTACATTATAAATGTTCAAAAGCTGGTGAGCGGCTTGTCAAATTCTCCTGGGTATTTTTTAATAGCAGTTATCGAGAAATTGTGGTAAACACACTGGAATAAACTTAAATGAGTCGGGGTGTGCAATGCATTGAAAATGCATTGAAATTTTGATTCGATGCATCGTATCGCAATTCGATTCAGTGATGATAAAAAAACTATTCGATTTATGGGGGAGCCAGTATCCGTAGACAAAAAACGCCTGCAGAAAGTCAATGCAATACCTGCAACATAGGAGCCCGTTGTTGCGTTTCCTTTGCAAAATGTTGCTTTAATTGTTTTATTAATGATTTATTTATTTATTTCCCACGGTTGAACCAATTTTACAATTAAGTGAACATCAAGATAGTAGCCTAAGATATTAATACTAAATAGAATATTGTCTTGCTTTGTTGATTGTTTTGACATTGAAAATGATGAGAAGTTTTGTTATGTGTAGGCCTAAGCAATGTGAGACATGTTTTACTACTGTAAACATAGCCATAACAATTCGCTCCATAATCATCTACCGGTACCTATATAAATAAAATTACAGTTTTGTCTGTACATTGCGTAGAATCATACGGTTTTTGGTTATTTTTACGTTTCATAGCCTAAGAGAGCCCAAACGAGTCATATCAATTTCTGTCTGTCTGTCTCTCTGTAATTCTCGTCTATAACGCCAAAATGACAATTTATGCCACCTAATTTGAGAAAACTAGAGTACCTATCAGGGTTCAAATCATCTTTCTGTACTCTCTGGATTGGTGGAGTGTCTTTGGCTATTAAAAATAGGGCCTTGCTGTTTTGGAATTAAAATATCGAACCATCAAAACCCTAATTTTGTGCGATTTTCATCAAGTTTTCTCCTAATGTTTTCTACATACGTCATTTATGAAATAACAAACAGCTGTTTGGATTAAGATTCTCACTTCTAGTTGTCACTGATATGTTTACATTGAATTGCAACATTTCCAATCACATTTTGTAAGCATATCGAAAACCATTCATTGAATCAAGTTAGATACCTCAAGTGACCTTTTGACTTATATAACGTATTTAACTGATCGCAAGTACAAAAATGTGTAACTGTAAATTGAAGTCATCATCCAGGTCAGGAACCTGGAGATTATACGTCTAAGAAATCCTACTTGTGTTTTGAAAACCGGGGAAGATACCGTAAATCAGTGATGTATAAGACTGAAAAATTGTAACTTGATACTTAACTAGTAAGACTGATAAACTAATATAGACTAATAAAATAAACTAATAAGACTGATTTGGACTGATAAACTTTGTATTTTTGTAGGTCTGAAGCTATGTACCTTGTAGTTTTTAGGTCTGATTCTATCCTCTTATTTGATCAATGTAAACCAATTGAAAGTTTCAGTATAAATCTTGCAAAAATGTGTTTACTTGTTTACACCAAAACATATCTTTATTTGTAAAATCAGTATTATAAAATAGGTAACATGCTCAACAATATGATTCTGAAAGTAAATAGTATGAAATAGGCAAGTAAAGCAGGGACATTTCCAGCAATACAGGCTCTTCTAATACCTATATGATTGAACAAAAAATTATTTTTCACCTGAAATTCATATTATGTCATATGCATGAATAGGCCTAATACCACATCAACAAAAATGTGCATTACATAAATGTGGTAAATTTCAATAATTGTTATTGCCACTCCATTGACAAGTATGAATTAAAAAATGCCGAATTGCTTCGAATGGAGTTACATTGATTCGAATCGAAAATCTTTTGAATTGAATTGTTGCTTCCAATTGAACATTTTTTGCTGCTTCACACACCCATACTTATGAGCTAAATTAAAAAAGCCAGCTTGTTGCTCTTAAACTAGCTACCTGTACTTTACCCTTTATTTGGGATTTTGTTCCTCAATGTCGTAGATTTGTAGAGCACACAATATATTAAGACATATTTTAACTAAAGCGGTTTATTGTGTTTCAGGTGCCTGTAGCTTCATGGTTCGATGACATGACGGATACAGAGATGTTGGATCTAATCCCGTTTTTTGAGAAGTTGAGCAAGGTGGACAATGTATACGCGGTATTGTGCAACTCTAACCACCCATACAACTGTGTCAACGTAGGCCAGTCACCGGGTGCAGGCTCATAGCCCCCGCTGTCTCATCAGCCACTGTTGCCTTCCGAGTGCCATCACCACTGTACAGAGAGGTTTTATTGTATTAACATATATTTAGTTTATATCACGACCTGGCCAGGTGCTCTAACCCAGGGTATGCAGCTTATCTTTATATCCTATTATATTTTACGCAAGATCGTAGCCCTTTATGTCCCAGTATTGTCGTTCTTCGTTTCTACTGGCAAAGATAATTTATTGTTATTTGCCCGTTAATATCTCTACTCAGTGTGCTTACTTGAAAATTTTCTCACCGTGGAATTTGTTTTTAACTGTGTAATGGTTGACAGAGGTGTATGGATGTCACTGAATAATTTTACAACTAGTTTGTTGTATTTGATTTAAAAGGAAAATCAATGGAGAATAATATTTAACATGAGATGTGTATTTGTCAACTATTTATTTGAGGTGTCTTTATCACATTTTACAAGACAATTTTACGTTTGAATACAAACACGTTAAACATACAAACAAATAAAGAGGATTGTTGCATACATCTAAAGTATTTTCTCAAAGACAAAGAAAATCATCTAGCGTTGTATTGACCTTCATACGTGGGCTAGTCATCTATTTTAATTTTTGCCTGGACTGTCAGTTGAAACTACCTCAGCTGCTCATTATGCTAGCCATTTTTATTGAAATTTGGATCCAGTTTCCTCATTTGATATTTGGAAAAGAGCTATTTAGTCAGTATTTCAAAGAAACCACTATAGTAGGACTAACGTTTAGACATCTAAAATTATTTTTGTCACACTACACAGTAAGCAGCGCAAGTTTGGTGTCTGGTGTAGTAATTTTACCAATCACTCTGACAAGACATTAAAAAAAGGCATAGATATGAGTTTCTTGTGTTCTTAACAAAGCTAACACAATACAAATTACCCATGTCTGAACTGCCACAATGCACTTTTCTAAATAAATATTCACTTAATATTAGAATGAATACATTTACCGGTTCAAGTTATTTTCCCTATCATTTTTAAGTTTTTTAAAGGCACCTCAATATAATATTTATTAAAGTGTTTCTTTTTCAAAATTTGACATTTGGTTCGTTAACAGTTTCAAATTTTAAAATTATGATTAAATTTTAATCATCATTAATTTCATTGATCAAACTTGCAGACATATTTAGTAGTTTAAATATTCTACTTTACTATTGCTGTATGCTCGTTCATTGTTTAAGTCAAAACAGGCTTTGCTCTGTATTGGAAAAGAATGAGAGATTTTGTAACATTTCTCCCTAATATTTGTGATGGTTAACATATCTGTTATTTTTAAGAAATGTAGGTTAAATGTCTGGGGTGAAACCCTTTTTCTTTAAGAAGGTACTAAAAGTTAGTAATTAATGTGAATTATTGTTACTACCTTACACATCACTAGACTGTGTTTTTGAATCTGTAAACATTATGTGTTAAAATGTTTTTCATAGCTAAATTATTATTTTGAATACAAACTATTGTATGACAAAGTCAGATTCATTAACATTAAACTATTTGATATCTCAAAATCAAAATCTGCGACCAGCCTGATTTTGTAGCACAGTCAGAAGAGAGGGATCAGAAGTTTTTCTGTTAACAAATACTGCCTTATACAACTATAGAAAATATTAGGCTGCTCACAATTTGGTTTGGTTTATCTTCTTAAACTAAAACTTCTCAGTTGTTATACATTAAAAATCTCTATTTAAGGTATAATAGAATTTAACTTGGAAATGTTGGACGTCACATAACAAGTTTTAAGGTAAAAACAGTAAGACAGGCTGCTTTTATGCATGTGCTTTGGCCGGATGACAAAAACTACTATGAAATATTGTTGTTTCCTAACAAATTGTGTTACTTGCAGTAACAACAGTTACAGTATAAGCTTTGTCAACTTTCGTCACCCTATTACCAGTTTGTCATTTTTTAACCTGCTCACAAATAAAACGTGATAGATTATTACATGTAATTATCTACACAAAGGGTACAATATTATTAACCCGCCCTCCATGAGTGTCCTTGATTGTAAAAGAGCAAAAAGCAATGTAATTTTGTACTAATATTAATACAAAAAGGTATAAAAACCATGTATAATAAAATGTACCTATAAATTAAATCTATTAAAAAAAATACTTGATATATATATAGCAAACAAAAGCAACAACACCATAAGTGACATACATTCCAGGAACCTAGAAGCATGTATGTAGCGCAAGCGGTGACACATGGGAGTAGATTCTGTGCCATGGGAGTAGATTCCGTGCTATGCGACTTCAGCCTTCAGCTGATTAATAGAGATAGTACGAGGGAGAGACCAATCAATGTTTAATCGGTTCCTAGAAAGAAGTGCGTTAGGTATGGTTACTCTTAAAACTGCCAGCCGATAATAACACATATTTTTCTATAAAAATTAAACCAGCCCGGAGGAATACGTGACATTTATGAAGGGTTAAAAGCTAATTATTTATTGTGATGTGATAAAATCTTGGACAACTTGGTACACCATTCTAACCTACATCCTAGGACGTTAGATTCTAGCCCAGAACTGTTTTAATTATTACTTCAGGCTATTCCTATCACATAGATCAAATCAATTGGTGATTTGCGGTATTTGAACTGGGGACCTCAGGCTCCGAAGCCCTGAGCTCTATCACTAGAGCAGCTCGCTCCCTTACTAAAAACATACCAAAAGTATATTTCAATTCTAAAAACTTTTTATTTATCTCGCATCAATGTTAATGTGATATAATAGTGGAATCGTAAATAGTTGTTTGGAATAGTAAACAGTTTGAAATCCATTATATACTCTTTAAAATTTGTTATTACTTGTTCACTTGTGCAAAACTTGCCAACTTATTCAACAACTAGACTTGGCCAAAGTAAAGTTATGGGTTTGATAGATTACTAATACTGAGTATTTATTAACTTATTATTTGACGTCCGGCATAAAACGCATGCATTCAGGGGTACTTAGACTCGCACATAGTTCCTTGCATTCTTACACTCGCTATGAAAAGCTTTTTTGGTAGGCCTAACAGTCAATTAAGTAGTTAGACTGAAAGATAAAGAACAAAGTGGTTTTGTGAGTTTAGTTGGTTTTTACTAAAGAAATATAAATATACAAATAATCAAAAGTTATCAGCTTTAAATGTTAAGTACTCATTTTCCATTATTTAGGAGCACCCTTAAATTCACCTAGATTTACCCAGATTTTTCACTTCATTCATAAAATAGTTATATTTTTATTATTTTAAGTAGCCTAATACTTGTTGACTATGTCTTAGGTATTTGTGTAATAATTTTGCTTAGTGTTTATACTATATTTTTACTGTTCTTATAATAATATATTTGAATTGTTATTTTTGTGTTTTGTTAAAATGTAATATTTTTTACCTATTATACAAAAAATGGCTGGATTAAATTTACATTTAAAAGCAATAATCATCGTGTAAATAAATATTTATCATATATATCTAATTTGTGAGCTTGTTAAACTTTTTTTAATAGATTAATTTTTCATATTTTACAATTCAAAATTAACTGAAATTAGAGTGTAAGAGTTTTAATGGTTATAAATATCTTCAGTTTTTCTATAATTTCTGCAATTTAACCGGTACTCTGTTAATTTATCAACCTTAAAAAAGGAAAGCTTTGCAATGAATAAGGAACCATACTGGTTTTGGACTTCTGGAATTAACGATATAAGTTTTGTCAGTAACCGTATCTAACAGAACCAACCATGATTGCTATAAAAGATGTTGAAAACCTGAAGTTTTCCATGTTGCCATATCAATCAGTTTTGTAAAACAAAAACACGACAATGGTTGAATCCTACTGCTCTGTTCCGGTTTTTAGTTGAATTATGATAAGATAAACTGTAGAGGTCAGCAAGATGAATCAGTGCTGCTAGGATTTGGCACGTCTCATTAGGCAATCAGCTGTAAATATGTCCCAGCGTATATGTAATGTGTGTTTGGTCGGTGAGTCGGAGCCTTAGTTTGGATAGGTGTCTCAAGTCAGTGATGTAAACTCATGTGCTAGACCTAGCTTGGTACCACATAAGCCAGAGGATTATGTTTAGGGATGTGTCAAATCCAAATCTCGAATCTCAAATCCACCGAATCATAAGAAAAGATTCGGATTCAAGATTCAATTCACAAGAAAAAAAAAAATTAGAATATAATTATAAGACATAATGTGACTTTGCCTTAACCATAGCAGGTTATTGACGTCGTAATATACAGTACTGTGACATTGACTAACCATAAAAATTATGTCGTGGTGGTGGTTATATGTGTTAAATGATTTCTGTTCCATTCTAGATTTTATCACTATAAGTCCATTTGTAATTATTTTTGGGACACGAGATTTGAAGATTTCAGATTTGAGATTCAATTTTTTTAGGATTCGGATTCCGATTTGAGATTCAAAATTCCTGAATTCGACCATCACTAATTATGTTTTTTAGTTAAACGATGCTCCAGTAAACGAAGCTGCTAGTTTTGTGCAATGAAAGTCTCCAGGCCAGGATTTTGATGTGTAGAATAAAGTTATAGCTGCTTGCTTATGTTAGAAGGACAGGGACGCTTGGTCCCCTGGGGGGTTTTTTCAAGTGTAGATAAAGTCCTCTTCTAGACAATCCTTTCATTCTACAGATCAAAACGAAGCTGTTAGTTTGTTTTTGGTTAAAGTTTTGGTTAAACAAAAATGTTTTATAATATTAGCCCCATCAAGGCTAAAATGGCTTGACATCGAGGAAAACTTAATGTCAATGTCTGAGCCATTAATGGGTAGTTTCAAATTTATGGTAATTGATAGTTGTATCTGTTATTCACTTCTCTTGCTATTCTGGGTCTTGTTATTACAGTTGTGATTTTAGAGAAAAGATTGTGTCAACGATACCTTTTAAAAACTAAAACTTATTGCTACAATTTTACCACTCAAACCTAAACAGATTAAAGTTTAAGATTATGAAACAAAACAGTCTATACCATATATTTGATCACTTTTCTAGCAGCACAAGACATATTTTTACAAGAATGTAGAGAGAAAACAACTTTTACACAGTAAAAAACATATCATACCTTTTTTAAAAGTATAGTGACAAGGTACAACTTACTGTTAACAATTGTGAGAAGCATCAAATACTGCCATGAAGTGTTGGTTAACATCTTGTCATCAGTTTAGTTTAGCAGCTATGATTTGTTAGTAGTTTTACATAGTTTAAACAATTACTTTAAATAGTTCCTAACCTACAAGATTTTTCAGTTGAGTGTTACATTACTAAAAATAAATTCATCACAAATTAATATTCAATAGCCAATTCATATTTAAACGTTTCATACACCATTATGACAATCAGGGAAATGTTGGTTAGCTAGCAAAATGAAGACCAATTCAAGTAATGTGGCCGACAATAAACAGATTTTCTTAATAATTTAAAGTATGAGAACATAGAAACACTTTAATCTTGTTTACCTTGGAAAAAACATCTAAACTGTTTCTCATTGGTCAATATGACTTGCATAGTATGATTTCAACAAAAATTGATGTCAGCCAGGTTATTGTTTTGAATTACTCAGTTCGTCCATCGGGGAGATTGTTCAATATTTTTGATCAGAAACTAATTACTGTGAAAATATTGTAACTAGCCAAATATAATTTTGTTTAGGAATAATTTAGTTTATTATTGATTTTAATTGCATTTATTTATTACTATCCCAGTAAAAATCATTAAGGAAGTGGTGTTTTTCTATATATTCGTCTAGGTGCTACCATTATACTGCTGTCCAAAACTAACAAACTTGACAGCAAAAATGTAAATATATTAAAATATAATATTGGGTGCAGGAGGTTTGGTGCTTCCACTAGCCCAATACAAGGACGATTTTATATTGCTCAATAAGGTATAAAACACGAGGATCGCATTATCACAGACATTGTGATTCCGCCTGCATTTTGTAGATAGTATACATATGAAAATAGATATTTATCAACTGATGTGAAACCGCTTTGTAATAAGAACATTTGTATATTGTTCGGTGGGAATTTTGATATTGTTCAAAAGAAGAATTATTTCGATAATCATTGAGTTGCCTTTTAATCTGTAAATAAAAGCCTTTTCCATTTATGTACTCAATCGTGTTATTTATACCCATTGTTGGTTTCAATTATGAATTAAGAATCCATAGTTAATAATGCAGTGAATAGAAGGGACCATTCTCAGCATCGAACTAAATCTTCAGATGAAGAAAAGTGCTATAACCACTTAGCTACTCATTAAACTACACTTAACAAGGAGAGTGCAAGCAAACAGTTGAGAGTAATTAATATCACATTCAAAGTCCATAATATCATTTAGCAACAATGATATTAAAGGGTAGGTGTATTGATGGTGAGATCCGATAAGCTTCCATTGTTCTGTAACAATAGTGTCATCTGGGAACAGATCGTATCAGTGGAACAATGTACCATCCTAATAACAAGCAGTACATGTTTAATCAAGCCAAATCCATTCATCACTCGGGTAAACAAAATTTGTTACAAATGAAATAATCTATGAGAAAATATCAAACATTTCTTTGTATGTTGCTCGTGGATGTTTTTTTAACTCACAATGAAGCCTCAAGGATTTTGTTGCTGTTTTAAACAGTTCAAATGGTTTTCACAAATTTTATCTTGCTATAAGTAATGCAAGCCTTGACTTCTAGCAGTGTTAAAGCCTAGGATGCCTTTACCCGAAATATTAGAGGAATGTGGTATTGCTACCCCTCCTTGTATAGAAACCCCCTATACACTTGGAGACTTACCAGACTTAAAACTTGGCACGATTGTTAGTTTTGTAAAGCTCGGTTTTCGATTTCCTACAGTACTTGGTAATATTCTGATCCCAAATTATGCTGTAAACTACTAATAAGCGATTAACCTCTAGGGGGCTTGGGGCGAAGCCCCAATTAGGCGAGTAAGTAATGTATAAGAAGCCTAGAAACATTTAACTATGATCTGAGTTCTGTCCCATGGGCATTCATTTGTAAAGTTCCTTAGTAACCCATACGCGGGACTTTGATCCTATAAACTCAAGTTTTAGACCATGCACTAAATTGAGACCGGATGCAAAATAAAAACGTAGGCTGATTTTTTTTTGCTAAACTTTGTTGTAATGGTATTTCAGATAAATATCACTATCAGTAGTAACACATAAAGCAACATTCAATTCTGAAATTTCTGTTGAAATTATGCGAGGGCGTCGACCATGAATTTTATTAACATTGAAACCCATGAAATCTGTATACATTTCATCACACTAAGGTGGAAACGGACCCTGTGGCTGTCCTGAGATTTTGTAAGGCAACTTATACGGCTCTATTTTAATTTTAACTTTCAAGTAACTTACCTTTACCTTGTTCAATTTTACTAACAGTAGATGGTTTTGTTTGCAATATGAGATTGATGTTACTTAAAAATCTGCATTTGACAAAACACTCAACTTCAATGAAAAAAATTTAATAGAAAATAAAAAAATCATTCAAGTGTAGGGAGGCATCCTAAGTATAAAAATAACTACAAAAGCCAGTTTTGACATTTTATTAAATATTAACAATCCACCTTCGTACATAACAGTAGTTGGTATCTCAGACAGAAAAACTCATTTTCTTCTTATCGCAAAAACATATTTAAAAAAAATAATGTTTAAAAAATGTTTTACTTGTTCTGTGGCAGTTGTATCGGTTTGGTGGTACTCCCAAAGGACCAATCTCCCACCACCAAGCCCTGTCAAGGAGGAGGAATTGGGTTCCTATCTGGACTGGGTAGGTGAAAGTCCCAGTCCAGATAGGACAGGGCGGATGAGGAAGAACAAGATGCTCTGGAAAGAGAGGATTTGGAAAGAGAAAGTGGAAGACAATCCCGGAGGTGGAAGAAGACCGAACACCTAGAGGTGAAGCTGCTGTTTGGTTGTGAACATGAGTTCTCCTGTAAGAACATTGTAACAAATACTCTTGAAATAAATGTTGGGAACTGTTACCTTAACCTGCAAATAAACATAAAGTTCTGTCGTCCACGTTCGGCTGTTTCAGACGTAGGCCTGTACCAACTTAAAGACAACCAATATTTTGATCTAAGGGGATTCCCTACCAGCGATGCACGGGCTGGAGTTACTTCACTTGCTGGTAGTCATCACACATCTGCTGGTCAGGGACCGATTGCCACCTTCTGAACGATTTAGAGTTTCTCCAGACATTGTCTTCCACTGCTTCTCTCTATTTTGTGATTGATGTATAACACAATAAAATCATTTCATGTGCAAAATAGGTTTTCTCTGTTTTTTTAGCTTAATACTTATGAATACTTTTAAAAGCAGTTTTATTTTAATTGTATTCTTGATGCAGTAAGTGTAAGTTCTCTGATCTCTTCTATTAAACTTATAAACAGATAACAAACCGGATATTGACCTAAGCATATTGATTGACAACATTGGGCAGTTAAAACTATAGAAGGCATTTCAGAAAAAAATATTTGTCCCTCTAAATTAGGGTCTGACTTGTGAAATATCAAATTTAAATGTTTGCTTGCAGAACCTTAATGACATCAGGCGGGCTGAGATGAACAACTCTTTACGTAACGCCTTGCTAATGTAATTAATGCATAAGATCATACTTTAATCGATGAGGATAAAAAGTCCTTAAGGGTGGACAGATGCTTCTAGGTGTCAAGATGATTTGCTTCAACATAAACCTCAAACAAACAAACCCAACAAGGTTATTCTATTAAGCTTAGTGATGTTAAAGGAGAGAGACAACTACGGCTTGTGAACTCAAAAATTTACAGACTCGACTAAAGACAATAACAACAGACAGTTGGTTGGGTGACTATTATAATAGAATAAAGCAGTAGGTACAGATACGTCGCATAATGCTAAAATGTGTTAACACTTTTGGGGTAAAAAAAAAACCGACTATATAAAAAACTCAACCAAAAATGTTTAATGTGTTTGCCCTACTAGCGGAACCTGTTGTCATGTCGTGCAACTTAGTCGGTCAACCGGCCATCTCAGCCGACTGGGAAATATTCCCTCGCCTCGAACTCATGACGAACACAGTGTACAAGCAATTTTAAATTCTCATAGGATTTTCACTTAAACATGTCAGATTTATTACCTACTAGCTGTTATCCACCAGCTTTGTCAGTCATAATTTAGTGCTTTATTACTACTACGCACTCAAGGCTAAAATTGCCTTTGGCATTAAATGTGCCGTCTAACATCTAATTGACAAAGTTAATTAAACATTTGTGACTACTGAAGTTAAACTAATTGAGAAATTCTTCATTTAGTTCTTCATTACTTCAATATAAATGTTAACTGCCCTTTTACCAGGAGCTTCAAACTACTCTCTATGGAACAACTTACAAAATTCTTTTCAGGAAAGTACTATTCCGTTGTATCCCCTTTCACTTAATTATACCCTTAAACCAAATTTGCCAATAGTACACTATGTACATTTAGCTTTCAAATCTATCATAGTATCTATATATTAATTTGAAACTGTTTTTCTTTGTGACAGCTAATTTGAGAGAACGGCTGGGCGTAGAAACTCGGTAGATGTGTCTAAAGAAAGGGCTTGGTCTGTAGATGAGCCATCAAAAGAGAAACGTGGTAAATTCCCTTGGGGCTCTGCCCCAGTGGCCTTTAAATTCCCATCCCATGTTATTCTTATGGGGGAAAAACGGGTTTTTGTCACAGCTAATTTCAGAGAACGGCTGGGCGTAGAAACTTGGTAGGGGTCTTTAAAGAAAGGTCTTGGTCTGTAGATGAGCCATTAAAAGAGAAATGAGGTAAATTCCCTTGGGGCTCTGCCTCAGAGGCCTTTAAAGTCCCCTCAGCAGATTTGTTTACATTATGACCATAAGCATAATTTTACACTACTTTTTAATGAAACAGCTGTTAATATTTAAATTGTGATCTAGTGAATATGTCAAAATGAAGTATTTGCAATGGTTTTTTCCTGATTTTAAAATCAATTTTCTGCTGCATCGTGTCATGTTTTGCAATATGCATCTGTAGACGATACTTGGGTTGGTGTAATTATTAAAATGAAAAAAGCGAGAAATCCTGGACAATTAATTTCAATTAAATTTAGATATAGGTGTACTAAAAATAAAACTGAATTAACACTGTGCTACATTTCTTGAGCAATCATTGAAAGAGCCGATTTGCAAACAATGGAAACATAAGAAAGTTATAGAACACAACCAATTAGAAGAAATGGAAATATTGTCTTTCTTTCTTAATTTATAATCATGAGAACCTAATGCGGCTATTAGTGGGAAACATTTGTAGAAAACTCTAAAAAAACAAGATCAGCTTTTGAAAAAAGATAAGATATTTACAAACAATTATTATTATGTCTAGGCCCTAACTGTAGCGTACATCGTGAGTATTTCCATAATCTTTGAGTTTACTTTAATAAAGTCATCGGAAATTATGACCGTTATTCGTTTTAGAATAACGCCTGTAATGCTTCGTAATTGCTCGAATTCGAGCAACAGGTACACTAGTCAAAGCTTAAAGCGAAACATCTCAGTCTCCCAGTACCTAATTCCACTTAGTGAAGTTTTCAACACTGCCAGTCAAGTATTTCTTAACAACCAAGACACAGTTGGTAAATAGTTGGCAAGTCACAAAATGATAGTCAAAAGGGAAGGAAGTAATTATTGAACTTCAGAGTTAGAATTGGTACTAAGTCACGAACTGAAGCAGTGCCTTTGCATCCCAACCCCTTACTCTTTTATTTCCGAGGGTGTTATGCTATTTTACACAGAGCCTTTGAGGTAATCAAAAATGCATGCTGATATTTGAATGCTCACACAGTTTTATTTTTTTATCAAAATTAGAAAATCAATTTACTGTACATTGTCAATGTTATTATGATGTATCTTCTTTATTCCAGCAAATGTGATTACTTACTGTTGTGTATTCGGGAAAAATATTAATAAATCTCATTATTCCAATAATATTATTTAAATAATCAGACAGAGTTATATTTTCGTAGTAGCAAGATGTGTATTTGCTAGAGCGAAATATTTATATGCAACATTTTGTTACAGTATTGTGTTTTTGTTAGTAGGGGTCTTCTCT